TTGGTGTTCTTGGTTTATCTTAGCTAGAGGCCATTGTACGCCCTGTCTGCCTCATTGTTGTTCCTCCCGCCTTGTCTGGCGCGATGTGGAACCAAACCGAAGTCGCTGATGGAGCCTCTGTTAATAAAGCATTTGCTCTCCAGCCCGCCTTCCCTAGTTTGCAACTCCCACTGGTGACTTGGAGGCGCTGACAGCCTACCTTCAAACAGACTTCGCAGCAGTGCTCCTTTTTGATTGCACGCTCGGTCTCTTGTGCTTAGCCACCGTGGTGGGCCGCTGACAATACTCGGCCAGTAAACACCAGCTCAAGCGACCCTCCTTGCCTTGCTGCAGATTTTAGGTAATGCATTCATTCCAGAGGATCTGTGGACGTGGGTGGAAGCTCGATTTCTCCCATCTTGAGCATGGTGTAATGAGAATTATATCAGGCATTTTACACGCCTGCCCCGGTCAGCCTCCTGGTGTCTGCTTGTATGAGGTCGAGTGGCTGCCCCAGCAGCCAGCAATTCTCACCCGTTGTCCGGCTCCCTGATGACCTTGATGCCACACGTCGTACGCACACCGTATTGATTAAGCTTGCACTGAGAACGAGGTAGCAGTTATGATTGTGCCCGGCTACGTGCCGCGGCAAACCCCTTTCGTTGCACTTAAGGGTGGATGACGGTTGCTACTTCTTCCCTCTGTCTCTCCTTCGCTGCTTCCAGTTCTTAGTTGCGCAGCAAAGCTAGCAGATTCCGTGCTATGCGCAGAGAGGCCAATCGTGCATCAAGAGCTGCCAGGCAACAGTGAGTTGCCATCTTCTGCAAGAGGCCGAAAGCTGTGCGAGCACGTCTGTGCGCCGAAGCAACTTTTCGCAGGGTCAAGACACACGGCGAAGAAGGCAAGATCGCAGGCTAAAGCTACAAGACCACGGTTCCTCAGCATTGTGGCAACGCCTTACAGTATGCAGAAGCCGGCAAAAGCCGGCGATCACCCATTGTGCCTGCAGTGTTCTTATGGCAAGTAAGTACTCCAGGCGCTTTTTGCCAGCAACTTAACACTCAACCGATGCACTCGCTTGTTCACCACACTCCCCGCTGCAAGAAATGGAAAGACTTGCAGCCTCCATCAGAATAAAACTTATCTGGCTCGTGTTTCTTGCATGGGAACCGGTTGTGAGGCTCTAGCACGCTGATGTCGCTTCCTACAGTCTGGTCTGAACTTCTGGTTCCCCCTCTTGGGTTTAGGCCTGGTTACCTTGCTGCTGCAGACCCCCACTTAAAACGAGCATCATGTGCATCAGCCGGATTTGTGGCCAATGTTATGGGTTTGGGCGCCACGCCAAAACAATAGGTTCACAGACATGCGCTCTCGCGGTCTACTTCAGATCCAAGAACCACAAGGCTGTGCGCGGGACTTTCCTGCTGCACGCCTCTGAGGATGCTGTCAGTTTCCGGATGGCTCTTTCTCTTTGGGCGGACGCGCTGCGACATCTTCTTAAATCCGCACATTTTGGTCCAGCTGGGGCGTCTCGACGCCTGGCTCTTGATGCAACTTTTCTGTTGGCTGTCTTGTTAGCTGTCTGAAGTCGTGAAGCACCAATCTGTTAAACACGCTGCGGGCCACATTCTTCACGGCAGCTTCTTCCCTGGCGCGGACGGCAGCACTGGACGACGTCTTCCGCGCTGGTGTGCTATTGCTCCGCGGGGCTTGAGGGCGTCTAAACCACCAACCTTCGTACGGAGCAGGTTGACGTCGACAACAATTCAAGTGCAATGGACTTTTGGACTTTGGTGCAGCGCGACGGAACGGTTCCGGGAGGCTTTTGGACTCCACTAGTGCTGCGGCGCGCGCATAGTCGAGTAGACAATTAAACGGCTGTTGTCCACCAAGTCCAGGCCGCAGTTCTCGAGAGACATGTTTCACCGCTGTCTTGTTATTTGTTTTTGATGGATGATTCGTAGGTCGCTCGGGACTGAGCGCAGCAGCCGCTGCCACCGAAGCCCGTCCAAGAAAGAAAAGCAGCTCTCATCGGACAGCGACGACTCAGTTTTTCACTTTTGCAGATTGTGGTTTCTGTTTTCTGAGTGAAAGGGTACATTTCACCATTTGATTAGCTTCTTGTTTTCTGGTTGTCTTGGGTTCGACCGAGTGCAGCAGCTGCTGCCGACGAGGCCGCTTTAATGGACCGAGCGCAGCACCCGCCGTCACCGAGGCCAGCATGCACCTGAACATAAATTCCGACACTGCCTTGTAGGTCAGCTGTCTACCACCCAATGCTACGGATCCAAACCCCAAACTCAACAAGCTTCAAATTGTTTAAATTTACAAAAGTTCTTTCTGGGCATCATACAACAACAACAACACTTGTGTTAGAAGTCCAAGCTAAATTTGCTGTTGCTTTTTAACAGTCTTTGTATTGTAATTTTCCGAAACAACATATAGACATGTAAGATCTTTTTGAAGATTCTTATTCCCCACCTTCGGTGTGGGGTTGTTAGCTTTTAAAGTCAGCTATTACTCCTCGCCCGCTGAGATTAGCTCCTGGAGTACCCAACCCCACAGAAAACCGTGACAATACCATGAAAATCCCTGGAGTGGAGTGCCCAACCCCACAGACTACCGTGAGAATCCCTGGAGTGCCCAACCCCACAGACTACCGTGAGAATCCCTGAAGTGCCCAACCCCACAGACTACCGTGAGAATCCCGGGAGTGCCCAACCCCACAGACTACCGTGAGAATCCTTGGAGTGCCCAACCCCACAGACTACCGTGAGAATCCCGGGAGTGCTCGGGAGCACCAGGGTTTAAGGTTTAGGCTCGGGTTCTGTAGGTTTTAGGATATGTGTGTAGGAAGGACAAGGCGCTAGGGTGGGGATGTCCGAAGTAAAATATTTTTTTGGTTTTTGCCAGTTTGCCAGATATTGCGGCACGCACAAACATTCGCAGTCTTTGCCACATCCGTAAAACCCAAGTAGTTTTGTTTCGGCTGATCTTGGCAGCTATGACGTTGTGCGGTCTGCTTTCGCGAGAGCATTCATTCTCTGAGTTGTTGCCAAGCACCTGATATGCAAGTTATGTTTTGATGGGTCAGAACATGTCAGAACTGTTATGCTTTGCACCATCAATTTTGACGTGCAGCACACAAGATCAGCGGAGAACCGGTAACGCCAGCAAGGCCACAGCGGGCCACAAACGTTTGAAACATTTGGTTTTTCACGCCAGGAGCCACAACAAACCAGAATATGTGGTTGTTCTTTTGGCTGGAGTGCTGAAGATCCTTTCCATCAGAAACTCTGAAGAAGCGGCAGCGAAACTTGAGTTGAGGTAGAACAGCTCAAGTGACCGAGCCTTTGTTTCAACGGTCGCCGTCATGCTAATACTACACAAGGCTTGAAATGTTTTGTGGATTGTGGAAGCAACATCAGCAGCATTAGCAGAAGTCCGGAAATGAACTTCCACATAGCGCACAGAACAGGCTTGTAAAGTATTTCAATGATTTCAGTGAATCCCACAAAAAGAGCGAATGAAAGTTCCCTGTCTTGGAAAGGGTCTGCAGCGAATCCAAAGACTGTGAAAAGTTAGCATTGGAGATGCCATGAGATTCAACTTTGGGGTCTTGAATGCCCATGCTCGGGATGCCACAGCTACATCCGATAAATTACGCTTTTGGTGAAACCAACGGTCGGGGTTCCTCCGAAGGGCATCGTTTGGGTTGCTGTTGATGGAAGTATTCGGTACACTACGAAAGTGCTTATGTGATTTTAAGTTTGCGAGTAAAGTCCATCATGGAGCCAACTGCAGGGGGCCAATCAGGTTAATGTATGTTATTGTTAGAATAACATTCAGGTCGCTAGGGGAGTTAATATGTAGATATATAGTAGGGTTACTGGTTGGCATAGCATTTTAATCCACACGAACCAAGACGTTGACCTGTGAGGCATTTTTTTGCGTGAGCATGAAGCAGAGTATTACTGTCCCCATTAGGGCCAATGGAAGGTCTAATGGCAGGGATAGTCTTGCATCTAGTCTTAAGGATACTAGTGGATACTGTTGTTGAGAAGCAGGAGTCGGTCAACGCTCACGGTCATTCATACGTATTGCTGGGACTTGGAACTGAGACTGCTGTGAAGGTTATCGTGGGAGTTAATATTCGGGCCCATGTTGTAGAGTTTCGGTAGTTCAGACAGAAATGATTTCCATCATTGCGAGAATCGTCTTTCGGAGTATCTCGTGAAGGGTCGCAATGAATTCAGAATGAAGGCGGCTGCTCACAAACGCATGCCCTCCCGTCGGAGCTTCGCAAATTTAACGCTAAGCCTCGGCCATACACCAAAGCCCCAGATGTAGGAGGATTGGTGGCGGTATCGCAGCACCTCGCGGTAGGTCTTCGTGTGGCGGGGGCTAACAAATATGTATGTGCAAATCAGAGCTTTCGCGGGTGCTGCGTTTTGGATAGGTTTTCCGTTTTATATTGCAAGGCAGAAGTGTCGTGTTTGTCGTTCTACTTGCAAAAAATTAAACCCTAAACCCTTAAACCCTAAACTCTAAACCCCTAAACTCAATGTGCGCGCCCGCGAGACGCATGGTTCACATGAGCACGGACGTGTAAACGTGAGGGCCGTTTTGCATTAGCTTGGATTGGTTTATAGTTGAGAGCTATTTGAAGCCGGACGGTTTGCTTCCGATACGTTTTTGTGAACGGATCTTCAGCATCTAGGAAATCCTGTGGGTATGGTTTGTTTGTGGAAGTAGCCGGGGTAGCACATGTTGCAAATAGTGCCTGAGGGCGAGTGTGTGGCGGCAGGTCGTTTTGCAGCATACTTCCCGTGTTTTTTGCTACACCATCAGCCTCTGATTGGACCATTGATGCATTGTCGGGTCATCGTTGCATCTTCTGTTCAAGCGGATGCTGGGCTGCGAATGCTGATTCAACATGGAATCCTGGACACATCAGACTCATCAGACAGCACCTGCACTTTTTGGATCCCTTTCCAGAGGCTTTAGTTTGAAGGTTGGCCATGGGCAACCGTTGCTCTGCAAGCCAAGGTTGCTCGGCACTGTAAGGGTGGTCCTCAAAATTAGGGTCCCTTTTTGGGTCCTTAATATAATACGGCACCTATTATTTAGGGTACCCAAAAGGGGGACCATATTTTTGACAACCACCCTTAAGAGTTTGGGGCTGCAAGTCTAGATCGCATGTCTCAGAATCCGCTGATTACTTGGGAGGTGACGGAAATGTTCAACCCGGTGGCAATGCGACAAAATTCGTGCATCCGCAGTTTTTCCCATTCTATGTGGTCAAGATCGGTGACCTGCTTACTATGGAAATGCCAGCTCCGTCACATACAGACCTTTTTAATAGAGGTCTTCTGCATCTATGGCACCCAGATATGTTTACAATATTCGTGTCTCACCAATGGTTGGGGCGATTTCACCCTGACCCGGATGGTTCACAGTTTAATATTCTCCGGGAGGCGTTGTTGAAACTGACAAACGGTTCGGCGTCAGTGGAGTGCAACCTTGTGAGCATTATTCATGGCCAGCTACCCGATTGGTCTGCAGACATGGGCAAACGATTGGAAAATGGCTTCATCTTTCTGGACTGGTTTTCGATCCCTGAGGCGCGGGCACGACGAAGACATGTTGTGCAGAACAGGCAACGTGAACTAAACGTCTCAGATGAGTTCGCACTAGCCAACCGCACGAGGGAGACGAGGAGGAACATAGCTTCGCACTGAAACAAGAACGGTTCCGGATTTTGATCTCCATAGTGACACGAAGCTGTTCTACTCTCCCGCGTCTGGACCCTGAGCCCTTGTACAAGCCTGACTGCCTGCAGATTCTCGCAAGACAGTCGGACAGCTATGACGACGAATCTTGCAGCACAACGATGGCGGTTCGCAGCATTCCGTGCTACGTGGAGGCATGAAGCTCAGAGATGCATCCTGGACCAGCCAGGAATGTGAACAGTCGGGTACCGCTGCTGATGCTACTGCAAGTTCTGCTGCTGCTGCTTGTTGACTGCTATGCTGCTGTTGCGGAAACTACGGCTTGCTACCGTTACTACAGCTGCTTCTGGATTCGGGGGTCTGTCAGCACAGGTCATTAGAGAGCGGATCAACGAGCCAGGAACATCGTCCCCTAAACTGGGAAGCGACTCTTCAGGCTTGCGTCAGCTCGAGGCTTGCAAGACCCCTGCGAAGACGGGTTATATTACACTATATTATACCCCGTATACTATCTTATCTTGTCTTATCTTATGTTACATCACGCTCTAGTATGTTACATTCTATCAGGTTCTAGAGACTAAGGCCTCGGTCCTGGTCCCTAAGTTTACCGACTCGAAGCTCCTGAGATATGGGGGTTTCCGAAAATTAGCACCTTATTTGGGGTCCTTATAATAAGGATCCTACTATTTAGGGTACTATATTAGGGTCCCCCATTTTCGGAAACTCCCATATCTGAGCTTCGGCTCTTCGGCTCAGAGCGCCTCAGGCATGCGACCTTTTCTTCGTCCTCGCCCCCGAACTGAGGCATGTTGACACAGGCCTGGCTCAGACGGTCCCGACATCTTGAGGTTGCAGGCAGTTTTCGGGGACGTGTCGGCTGGTTCAACTGCCAATCTCGCAGTCGAAAAGCTCTGATGCCATGAAGCTTCATCCTGCTCAGCTAGCATGCCCCTCCAATAACCAAATCATAAGTGTTCCATTTTGGGATTTTCCAGTTCAGGTCACATGTGTGAAGTTTTCAGCTTCCTGTTCATTGTTGCTGCATAGTCGGATGATGATTCAGGATCAGTTTTGTATACCTGCGTGGTACTCGCAATGGCGAAAAGCTAGGTCAGCAACTACGTATGGTCTTTGTCAGCATTCGCCGCAGCCGCAGGAACCCCCAGCCCTCAGCCCTAAGCTCCAAATGCCTCAACCCTAAAATTGCCAGGCAGGCTGTGCAACTATGCATCCTGGCTCTCGAGGCAGGAGAGGGTGCAGGGTACGGTTTAGGATTTAGGGCAGTTGCGGTTTGGGGCTGAGGGTTCAGAGTCCAGGGTTTAGGGCTCAGGGTTTAGGGTTTAGGGGTTTAGGGGTTTAAGGTTTAGGGTTTAGGGCTCAGGGGTTGAAGGCGGTGGAAATGAGGCCCAGGCGAACCAGGCGATATGCAGTAGTTTGCGCCGTTCGCGCTCCTGATGTTTTCGCGGGGTATCCCTGTGGTGTGCGGAGCAGGGGATCTCTGTCGTTGGGAAGCTTCCAAAAATGGATGTAAAGGACCGAGTCCAGCAGGGCGGGGCTGGCCGAAGGGGCGAGAGAGGGAAGAAGAGAGAGCAGTAGAGACGCAGGGAGAGAGAAACGGAATGAAACAGATAACAGGGAGGCAGGTACATATTATGTAGATATCATGTAGACATTTGGACAGACAAATCCAATCTCAACATGATGTGCTTCTCATTCAAGCCTCACTTTTTTCTCACAGCATTCGGGTTTCAGAGCGTCGCGCCTTCTTGTGCACGGCGTGTTTGATGTGGCTTGCCATGAAGAGGGGTTGTGTTGTCCGTATTCAAAAGTTTTGGGAAGGAAGTCCATCTACCTAGCATCGCTGTGAGGCTGTCAGGGGGCCGTTCCCCTCCTGCTCGACGCTTAACAGTGTAACGACAACGGGACAAAGTTTTGCTACGTCTACAAACAACCACCACTCTCATTGACAAGAAGCACCATTTCTTGAAGCTTGAAACCCATGAAGGCTCCAACCCTAAACCCTAAAACCCTAAACCCTGAACCCTAAAAAGCCCATTTCCTAAAAGTTTACAAGTCATAAACGGAATCCCGACAGAAACAGACGAAACAGACCGCCGAAACCCTAAACCCCAAACCCTCTCTCCCTGGACTCGCTCATGCGGAGAAAGGGCCATTGCACAAAAAAAACTCTCTCCGAGGGGTTGGTGCCGGGCAGAGCTCTGGTGCCGCCTACTCTCGGCGAAAGCCGCCGACACAAGCAGCCGGGCCTTTAGGGTGCTACAATAAAAGGGCCAAGCGGATGTATAGGGTTCGACAATATAGGGTTCCTTTAAAGGGATCCTGAAAGGGTTCTAGAGGGGATCTATAGGGTTCTATAATATAGGGGCTTTCATAATTGAATTAGGGTTTGGCCAAAATAGTATTGGCCCGGCTTCGTGAGCTGCACCCGAAGCCTAGGCCTAAGTGCATTGAAAAACAGACGTAGTACCCATAGGGAAGCTGGAAGCTGTGTGCTTGTCTGGGTCTGCCGCTTTCTTGAGGATGGAGTCGAAACGCTTGTGCAGTGATCGCAGCTGAGGCATAGTGGTTGTACGCTCTGCGGAGGCAGATGGGACGGGAAGGGATGCTTTCGTAACTATACCAATCCTTCTGTGCACTGCGCAATTCTGCGTGCACATTTGCGTGCAGTGATCATTTTGAGGAGTTGGAGTTCATGTTCCAGCTGGACTGGCAGCACAACACCATCGCCGACGGCGTCTTCACAGTGGAGGCGGACCGTGCCCGAGTGGCTAGGCTTGGCGAGGCGGCAGCAGAGGGAAAGCTGCGGTGCCCGGCAAGCAGTCGGAAGCCCTCCTCCCACAGGTATATTGGGGATGTCACGTACTACAGCTATATGATATACCATTATGCTGTAATTGTAACTACCTCATATGATTCTACATTATAGCAATTTCTAGTATATAATATACTATATTATAGCAATGTCTAGTATATAATATACTACATTATAGTAATTTCTAGTATATAATTGAAGTCTCCATAAAAGCAGCTGCGCGCCCTGCTGCGCCCTGCATCCCAGGCAGCTCCGGGAGTCGGGGCCCAGGGACTTCTACCGCTTCTTGGCGTTCCTTTTGCGGTTGGCTCTTAGGAGCCTTTAAGGGGGTTCCTTTAAGGGGTTCCTATGAGGGATCTATAGGGGTTTTGGTTTGGGGATTTAGGACTTTAACTTTTTGGGTTTCTATATGAACTATAATAAGGAGGCTAGAAGTTTAACTTTTGGGTTTCTTAATAAGGAGGCTAGAAGTTTAACTTTTAGGAGGGGTTCAGAAGTCAGCCAAGGCTTCTTCTTGGCGCATCGTGAAAGGCTCCTCGGAAGGGCGCGCCACCGCTGGCAGCTGCAGGAGTCGAGAGGGGTTCCTAGTAGTAGAGTAGGGAACCTTTAACCTTCTTGGGGTAGCATAGTCCCCCTATAATCCCTGTACGACCAAGAAGGTTAACCTTTAGTTCCCCATGATACCCGACAAGTGTTGGGGTTTAGGGCTTTGAAAAAACGGGAAGGACAGGGCTTGCAATTGGCTCGCAATTAGCTCTGAGAAGCTGGCTCAGGACTTCCTCGATCAGTTTCATTTCGATGACCTGGAGGCAGCAGCCGGTGAAGGAGTTATGACGGGCGTGCTTTGCGCGGTCTTCGCAGGGGATTCTGAAGTTTTGACAGCGCTGGTGGAAGCCCGGGCAGATGTGAACCGCAGCATCCACGGGCTCTCTGACCTGGGCTACTTTGATGGCATGTCCCCTCTCACAGTTGCAACTCGATCGAATCAAGATCCTGAGATGCTCTCCAGTCTCCTGATGCTCCGTGCGGATGTCAACTATCGTGTTCCGATGTCCGGGGCCTGTGCTGCACATGTTGTCCGAAGCCCCGAACAGTTCCGAGTTCTGAAAGATGCCGGCGTTGACTTCCTTTCAATCGCCATGCCCATCGGCATGACCCCGCTGACGTCGGCGGCTGGGTTTGCATCTGCTGAAGTAGTTTCAGCTCTCTTGGGGGCAAGAAGTGATCCCAATCCTCCTTTGCAGGGTCTGGGCTGGAGCCCCTTGCATGCAGTGGCCCTCTTCTCTAGGGGTCGGGCAGATGCTGTGGAGATCGTGCATCTGCTGGTGAAAGCGCAGGGGGACCTGAACGCGAAGGCCCAGATGTCCGGGCCTTTGTCCTGGATCGCTCGGGCCATGAAAGCCCAAACCGCCTTTTGGGGCCTCTCAGCCTGTGGATCGAAAACCCGCTGCCTGGCGAGCTTGCCTGGCATCGCACCCTTGGGTGCGGCTGCCTTGGCCGGTGATGAGACGCTGACCAGGCTATTTTTAGATTTAGGTGCAGGGACTGCGGCAAACGACATGGGCAGCCTTCCGGAGGAACTGGCCCAAGCCAATCGCCACGCAAGCGTGACGTCTCTCCTCGACTTCGTGTCGATCTGATACCACTTAAAGGATCATGGGACTTTATAACTAGGGTTATAATTAGGGTAACTATACTTATAAGTACTTATGACCCCAATTAAGATACTTATAAGCTTACTTACTAAGTCCCATGATCCTCCAAGCAGTGCCGGGCATAGCAGCCTCGGGCGCGTGGACGACAGCAGCACCAAAACAAGTCGCACTTTCACTCGCAGCGACAGCAAACTGCGGCTGTTTAAGTTCAGACTCGGCAGTCTAATGCCGGGGCCTAAATAATTACTAAGATTATTTTGGCCGGTCCTTACTAGAGTTATAGTGTAATGGGCCCCACAACCCCATTCTAATTATTCAGGCCCCAGTAGTAAGTGCTTGTTTTTTCGTCTGCCAGGGCAAAGATCGGCCTTGAGTAGCCCCACGCAGAAAAAAAAGGCGCCTGCGCTATTCCGGCAGTCTGCCAATGCCCGACATTGAAGAGAAGGTACCATGCAATGGTTTGTCTATGATTGTCGTTTACCAATCGAAAATGCATGAAGTGCACCGAAAGGGCTTGTACCGTGGTGTGACGACGGGAAAAAGTGGAAAAAGGTTCCATTCCACTCATGGGCGGCTCAAGCTGCCGGGCCTCGCCGGCTAGCCGGTAACACCGTGGCTGCCACTTTTGTGCAGCAAGTCTGCAGCAATGGCCACGGATTTGGCCAGGTTCGCAGCTTCGCTTCGTGCAAGCCCGAGCAGGAGATCGTTTTTGGACCACGCCTCGTTTCCGATGTACACCGTGCCAGCGGAATTTCTGCTGCAGATGAAGGAGCTGAGGACTCACGAAGAGATGGTTCAAGCTGGTGCACTTGTGGAGTTCAGCACAAATCTTGGGCGAGCTATGTTCGTGTCCCATGAGTGGCTGAGCAGTCGGCATCCCGATCCGAACGCGGAGCAGCTTCAGATATTGCAGCAGGCGTTGAGGAACATCGCGTCAGGCAGCAGCAATATTTGCGTCCCAGTTGTGACAGAAATCCTCTTCGGTCGACTGCAGCTTCCGACTGCTGACAGTGTGGGTGTCGGCTTATACGTATGGTACGACTACTTGTGCTGCCCGCAGCACAGCTCGAATGCAGCATCTCTGCACCGCCAGGCGGCCATCGACAGCATTCCCACATATGTGTCACAATGTTATTTCTTCGTGATCTTGTGTCCTGCCCTCAAGCACTTCGACCAAAGCCGTACCCTTAGTCAGTCAAGCTGGGCCTTGCGGGGGTGGTGTCGCTGTGAGCGGGTCGCACGTGAGCTTGCCGCGCGAGAAGATGGTTACATAATCGTCATTGAAAGTGCGGTACACCAAACATTGGTGTGGCTTGGAAACAGGACGTTGGAAGCACCTGGTGAGGGAGCTTTCACACTGGAGCAGGACAAGCTTAGGGTTGGCCGTATGATGATTCGCATGATTTGGGACAAGCTGCTGTTCTATCTCGAGAAAGGTGACTTGCACAACTATCGGTTCCTCTTAAACTCTCAGAAAGCTCGGTTCTTTAGAGGACTTGATGTCGCGCCTGTTGATGGCTTGATTCCAGCTGGTGGAATCCAAGCCGATTCCTTCCGGGAGCCGGAGAAATTCTTGCTGGAGTGGTTCCTGCATCAGAACGGCTTTCGGGGAGTCTCCGAACGCGATGAGAAGGGATGGTCCCCTCTGTGTTTCGCCGCCCTAAATGGTGACACAGTGACGATTAAGTATCTCTTGCGTTTCCGGGCCGATCCTAACGACATGACGACAAAGGCAAGGATCAAGGCGGGGGCGGGAGCACAGATCGGTTAAGGTTTAGGGTTTAGGGTTTCCTGCTTCAGGGTCTTAGGGTATAGGTCTTGCGGTTTAGGATAAATCTAGGGCAAAACTTAGGCTGTATCCCGCATCAGGAACAGCTGCCCAGGAAGAGCAGTGTTGTGGCAATCGCGGCCTTTTTTCGCAACAACGAGGCCGTAGAGGTACTATTGTCTGCAAGAGCTTCTCCAAATGCACTTGACGAAAACTTTGGCAATTCCCTGCACTTTGCTGCTTGGAGGCTTTCGGGAGACTGCTTGCTTGCCCAGATTCGCATCATTGCAATACAACGGCAGAACATGGTTTTAGCAGATCAGGCGGTCAGAACCATGAGTAGTCAGCGACATGGTCAATCAAAGCGCGGGGTGCCGTAGAAGCGAGGCAGCCATGGTGATAAATAATTACAGTCGACACAATGGCATCTGCCCGGCAACTCATAATATGCTCACATTCACAGTCTCTTTTCTTTCAGACAGGCATCACATTCGGAATAATCGTGTTGCAGCGACCCATATAAGATGTCACAGTAGAAACATACCTCGGTGTACCAGTAATGGACGGTAACGGCAGGAGCAAGGGTAGGACATGTTGGAGACAAGGCTGATGGTCAAAACATTCTTAGGCTCAATGTATTTCTACTGTCACTATTAGTACTATTGCCGAGTTACTGGTACTATCTCTTTGTTATTGCAATTATTATTATCATCATTGGTCATGCAAGCCACCGACCAGTAAGACTGTTACTGCTTTCAGAAGGAATTTAATGAGTGTGATTGCAGCAAGGCCTTTGATGACTTTACTCACGACAGTAATGAAACGTGAGAACTTTTTCCTACCCTTACACTTATTCTGATCCTGTTCTTGTTTCTACTGTTTCCATCAGTACTATTACTATTGCCATTCTTGCTGTTGCTGTTACTATGATTCTTCCTTTCTTGTTGTTGTTATTGTTGTGGGACTGACACTGGTAAGCTTCAGCAGACCATGCTGAGCGGTAGCAGCAGTCGCGGCAGCAACAGCCCAAGTGGCCCTGGTGACAAAGTTGTCCCCGTCACAAGACGAGGGTTTAGGGGTTTAGGGTTTGCAAGGTTTAGGATTCAGGAGTTTTTGTGCTGGATAGAGTGTCGACATTTGTCGACGGTACTATCATAACGAGGCTTCTTCGAGAAGACATAAGCACTGGCATTTCGCTTCCAAAGATGATTGCAAAAGCCTCGACCGACTGAGGCTTGCGCTGCTGACAATGCTGTGGCTGTGCAATTGCTGATCTCCGCCCGTGCCAATCCGCACCAGAAATGCCTTCCGGGTCTGAACCCTTTCCAGGCCAGCTGTTTTTCAAAGCTAAGCTAGGAAAAGGCCGGACTGGCCGTGCTGAAAGATAGTCTTTCAGCGGCTCTGCCAGGTTCATTGTTACCATGACGATGGCTGCAGTTGATCGGGGTTTTGAAATGCAGCTTACCCTAAACCCCAAACCCCTGAGCCCCTAAACCCCAAACCCCTAAACCCTAAACCCCTAAACCCTATGCCCCTAAGCCCCTAATCTCCAGGTGAGCTGTGCCTGTGGCAGCCTCCAGTCCATGAAGGAGATCCTCGCGCAAGAGCCAGAGCTGAGCCTGCGGCATAGCCTGCATTTCGCCTTGATGCTGGGCTCTTTTTTGAGGGACCCCCCTCAGTTAGAGAGCTTCCCTGATAGTAGCCTTATAGAAGCCGTTATAGATATCCTTATAGATCCCTTCAAGGACCCCTAAACTGGGCTCTTGCTAAGGAACTTCGGTTAAGTTAGCATGATAAGGAAACCATTCTATTTTCTAAAAGATCCCGGGCCTATCATGGTAATCTAAGGTCAGCTCCTTAACCCCAAAACCTTTATAGAACCCTCAAAGGAACCCTCAAGTGTGGTAACTTAAAGTTAAGTTCCCTTAACTTGAACCTAATATGCTAAACTCTTACAGGGACCCCTTGTAGATCCCTTAAAGGTAAAGGAGCCAGTGCAGATCCCTTGAAGGAGCCCTGCTTCAAGGATCATGGGAGTTAATGACTAGCGGTATAATTAGGGTAACTATACTACTTATATCTACTTATAACACCAGTTAAGGTGCTTGTACGCTTACTTACTAAGTCCCACGATCCTCCAAGTATTCCTTAAGCAGAGCCCAGGATGTTCAGTACTCTTGCAGGAACCCTTGTAGATCCCTTAAAGGAGCCCTTATAGATCCCTTAAAAAAACCCTATTCCTTAAGAAGAGCCCAGGATGTTCAGTGGAGGGGGATCTCCAGAGACCATCTCAGAGTTGATCCGAGCCCGGGCAGACGTGAACGAGCAGTTCCGGATTCGGATAAAGGAGCCTTTGTCTGAGTTTTCAGTAGCATTTTGACGTGTTTATGGGTACTTGAATGTCATAGGTGGGTAACATTTTGCAGGTTTATGGGTACTTAAATGTCATAGGTGAGTAACATTTTACATGTTTATGGGTACTTAACTTAAATGTCATAGTTGGGTGACGTTTTGCATGCTTATGGGTACTTAACTTAAATGTCATAGTTGGGTGAAAATTTACATGTTTATGGGTACTTAAATGTCACAGTTGGGCAACATTTTTCATGTTTATGGGCACTTAAATGTCATAATTGGGTAACATTTTGCAGGTTTATGGGTACTGAAATGTCAAATACTTAAACGCAAAAAGGAATATAGATTCATTTTTTCAACTGTGGCCTAGGAGCCAGGCTGGTGGCTGCTTTTAAATCTTACCAGCCTCCGACACCGGGTGAGCCCCTCCAGGCTCACCTGCTTGGCCTATCATCACTACGGAGCCACGCCGCTCATGTTCCTAGGTTCTTGTTAAGGGATTTTCATTTAAGTTACCAAAATGGGGATCTATACTAAAATGTGGTATCTTTATTTTGGTAACTTAAACTAAGTTCCTTAATAAGAAACCAGGTTCAGCATCCTCAGCGGATACCTGCAGGCTGCATCGGCTTTGCTGAGTGCTGGGGCTCATATGGACATCATGAACTTTCGGAGGACCTAGTAGGGAATGGGGGAATGGATCCCTATAGTAGCCCCGACTCGAAGAGTAGTCTCCATAATCCATTCCCCACTCCCTTCTAAGAACCAGAGGAAGACCGCCTTGGACCTGGCTTCCCAGATGCTGGTTCCGGCTTGGTTGATGCGATCCTTAGATGGCCGCGACCAGGGCCCACAGGGTCTGGAAGATGAAGAGCTTACCGAGGAGGACGTCTTCTTCATTTGAGAATCATTCTCGATGTAGCTGACCTCAACTTCGAGGTTCATGGGTAGTTATAAGTGGGGTTGTAAGTAGGGTAACTAAGGGGACTTATAACTCCACTTATAACTACCCATGAACCTCCAAGAAGGCCCAAAATCGTGGTGCCATGCAAAGTATGCACGCGAACGAGTTAGGCCACCGAGGTCCTGCACTTTTGCCTCTCAGGCTGCTTCCAAGATGCATGCCTCGTAAGACCATCTGGCCGAATCTGGCCGGTGGAACCCGCTTTTTGCCTCGCTCATTTTCCGTTATCTGTCCACAGCGCAAGTGTGATCAGGCATCCCGTGGTTGCCGCTGTGAGGAAGAGAGGTTGTAGACGCCAAGCGCAGAGCGAATGAAGGACCACCTGGGTTGCGGCTGGGCAGGAAGTGAGCAGCTAGTGACTTCTGTGGCCCAATGTCTGCCACTGCAATCAGCATTGCCACCTACATGTGCCAGGATTCTCAAACTCATGGTCCATTTTCATCGCCATCACGGCTATCAATGCCAATTTCCTCGTCATAAGCATCGAGACCATTGTCGCCATGATCCTGGTTTTTTCGTTATTAATGTCATCAAGATTATCATCTGAAACTTCACACCTCTTCATCGTCTTGCTCATATTCCGGGTCATTTGTCTTCTTGCTGTTCATTATCATTATCACATTTGTTATTGTCATCATCGGCATCACCATCATCGTAACGATCACCATCACCTCCTGTTCATACTACTAATGCTAATCCTAACACCACCACCACCGCTACTATCATTTTCACCATCACCGGTAATTCCATCGCCAAAACGATGATGATGGTGATAAGGAGCATGGTGTTGATGATGATGATGATGATGATTGATGTCATCATCTTCTTGTTCATTATCGGCATCATCACCACCACCATCACCATCATCATCACCATCACCATCATCATGACCACCACCATGACCATCACGATCACCATTACCATCACCATCATTGGCATCATCGTCATCATTACCGTCATCATCATGATCATCATCATCATCATGAAAGTCACCAGCATCAGCATCATCATCATCATCATCTTCTTCACCATTTTCATCATCATCGTCATCAGCATCATCGCCATGCTCAGCATAGCATCCAAACGTAACTTCATCATCAATATACTTGGCATCACCAGGATCTTCAGCTGGTTCCGTGAGTACCATCATCACCGTTATCGTCATCATGATCGTCGTGGTCATCAGGATCATCATCGTCATCGCCATCATCAGCAACACAACCGCGGTAGGTGTTCGCACCGTCAACGCCATGTTGATCGTCACATTCGTTGCAATCGGCATGTCCGTGGCCATGTCATCATCCTCATCATCAGCAGCCTTAACATCAAGCCGTTGCGCGAAACGTTTGTATTCTCTTTGCAGCCGCGGGCTCGAGCCAAGTGGCTGCGGCTGCGTCCGGGCGAGGCCCGCGTTCACCCTAAACCCTAAGCCATCCTAGGCTCCAGGTCTCCCGTGGCTTCCTGGAGCCCAGGTGGCCGGCAAAGGGGGGTCTCCGCACGCCCCCATACAATGAAGCAGAAACTTATTTACTGGGTTTCTCGGGCGGCGACTCTCCTTTGCTGGCCGCCTGTTAAAGCCACTGTCAAGGCCGGTGTTAAACGCCCCGAGTCCTGCCGGGTGCTAAAAGATCCGTGCGTGCGACTCGGGGTCAGACTTTTGTCTGGCACCGTGCCAAAAAGTTTTTGCCCCAGGAAGAGACGATGCATGCTGGTCATCAGAGTCGAATCGTGTGGTTGAGCGGGAATGTACGGTTACGTTTATGTTGCAGAAGATAAGATAAAGAAGGCAGCACTGTGTCACGTCATTTAGATACGAACATACACATTGGAAAGTACAAGGTTTCTTGGTTGCACATCCGCAAGCTAAGCATGCATCTCTTGTGCTGGCGGGGTCCTCGTCCCCTGGGGTGTGAGTACTTTTGCCAGAGCAGACTTTGAACAGGAGTGCAACATGCAAAATTCAGATCACAGCACACTACGAGGAAATATCTATATTTCATTGCCTGGTGTGCGTTCTGCATAGCTTTGGCAGAAGGAAACTAACAGCCAGCTGCTTTACTCACATGCCGCCTTCCCCACGTCGCTGTCGCGGTGCTGGAACTGCAAAAAGCCTTTGCGTTTCTGTGACAAATCGAGTAGCTTCCGCATTCAAAGCAAATGCCAAAGCACACGAATCAAGCCTCGATTCTACAGGCATTCTTGCAAGATGCAGGCGGTGTTTGGGCTTCATGTTCAATCAGTATGAAGCGTCAAGCGCTATTGAAAGACGTTTGGCCTTAAAGACGCTGGCCCATCTACCTATCCAAGGAATCCTCTCTATGGGTTCATGTTAGTTTGACCCGCCGATATTGAGATCGGTGTCAATAGCTGGATACATGCTGCAGTTTGCTGAGTATCAGCAGCCATGGACATGAATGTGCAGGTTTTGTTTGTTGCAGGTCAGTTCGGTGTGCGACTTCTCAATTGGTAGCCTCTTGCCGCTCTCCGATTACCGTTGGTTTGGGCATGTTTGGGCACTCTCCGGTGTTTCCTTTGCACCGCTCGAATTCGGTTGAGGAAGGTGAAGGCCGCGGTTGAGCCATGTCGAAGTACTGCATTCCGGCATGGAGTCGGGAGGGTCTCCCTTGTCCCCACGGCGAGAAGGCGGACGATGAACCTGTTGCAACGCCACGTCGTGAGTTGTGTGGAAAGAGTGGTCTTGGTTTTCGACATGGTCAAAAAAGCACGGTTTTGTTTCTTCAGCCTTTATAACCAGTTTGGTAGAATTGAGTCTCAAAGCAGAAGCTTGAAGCTGGGACCGCGAACCTTCAGTTGCATGCCAGGTGAGGGATTTTCCACATGTAAGTTTAGGACTGCGCTCCACCTTGATAGCTTCCGGGGCCTCCTCGATTCACATCAGGTTCTTCTTCCGCTGTCCACTTTCACGATGCCCTCGTCGCCGGCAGGCTTGGATTGGTTCCTCGAATGATTGTTAGCACTGCTAGGTATTTGTAGTCAGCGTCTTATCGGAAGGGTTAATCCTGGCTCCCAGCCTGCAATAGATTTTGGGCCCATGCCAAGAAGGTCTGAATGGAGCTTTCATTCGGATTTTCTGGCAACCTTGCAGCTCTGACCCTAAGAACTTCGCTGCTGGAATGGCCTCACCAAGCAGCACGGCATCCTTCGATAGAGCTAAGTTGGAAAGCTTCCGAAGGTTTGTCTTGTGTGACCTGCTCCTGCTCTTGATTGCTCCCCTGCCTGCTCCTGCTTTTTATTGCTCACCTAGAAGTACTGAAAGTACTAGTAGCGCTTCGAGTACCACTAACACTAGTCGTGCAAGTGTAAGCGCTAATGCTTGTAGTGCCAGTATCACGTGTGCCAGTACGACGGTGGATGGAGGAAATCTTGCACCACCTACATACACTGCTTCAGGTACACATCCAAACAACAACCCCGCACCCCGTTTTAACATGGACGACAGATCTCTCGGGGCAGTGCAAGATTTATGTCATTGGAACGATTATGTAGATCCCCCCGTTCATAGCAATGTTAAGCAGGTGGCGTGGGGTGAAGCTACATTACCATTGCCAATTGCCACGACTGCCACCACCAGTGAGTTCACCAGCACCGCCTACAGCCATCGTCCCACTTGTCCCTCACTAAGTTTGCGAAGTCCTGCGTGCCGAGGCTCGCAGCAGCATTCTGCACACTTCCATTCGACTGGGTCTTGGTGGTCTTGCTTCGTGGATGGCTGGTGCGAGGCCTTGGCCTTAAGGACAGATTTGTGAGGGTTTCGATCTGGGCACCGGCAATGTGCTGCACCACTACACGGAGGTTGACTTCTCTTTGCAAGCAGAACAATGTCATTCGAGCATTGGCTTTCGAACGTTTTGTGTTTTCGCCAGCTCCTGTCTTGCTCCCTGTCCGGGATGCATGGCATGTTTAGATCGCGCTTTGGGGTCTTCCAGAGTTGGGCTGGCTCAAGAACCTTCGAGATACCTCGAGATCATGATTATGATTACCTAACAGAAACGGTCACAAGCAGAACTGCCCTAAACCCTGAACCCTGGCGCCTAAAACCTAAACCTTACAGTGTGTGCATGGGCCATGGAGTCGATAAAGACAGCCCAAGAGTCGATCAAATCAGTTCAACCCCAAACCCCAAACCTCAGACCCCAAACCCAAATCCTCAAGGTTTTCTGGCCTGGCTTGGGGGTGTGTGGGTTGCCCCCCAAACGCCTGAGGCAGATTCCAGGACCCCGAGCGTTCTGGGCCGAAAGATGGAAAACCCTACTCTTGGGCTGTGCGGGTCTGCTGGGGTTCGTGGGCATGCCCCGATTCCTAAAGCAAAAGGCGCACCCATCGCGCACACACTGTACACACACAAACACACACACACACACACACCCCAAGCCCTGAAATCCTAAACGCGAAACCCTGGATCCTAAACCCAAAACCCCAAATCTCAAAGCCCTAAACCCTAAACCCCAAATCTCAAAGCCCTAAACCCTAAACCCTAAAGCCCTAAACCCCAAATCCTAAAGCCCCAACCCTACCCCCATAAATCCTCCCATGAGGCTGGCTGGTTCAAGGCCCCTAAGCCCCGAAAAGGTTTCCCGGATCTCCGAAGCCAGGGCTCTGGGAGTTCGCCTTGGGGCTGCTGATCCTGCTAGCCTACATCGTGCCCCCTGACGTTTTGGGTTTGGCATTCAGGGGTTTAGGGGCTTCGGGGGTTCAGGGTTTAGGGGTTTAGAGTTTAGGGGTTTAGGGTTTAGGGGTTTACGGTTCCGGGTTTGGGATTCAGAAGGGACTGTCGGTTCAGCACTTATAGGGTTTGCTTAAGTTTGGTTCAGAGTACATCGTGCCCCCTTGACACAACCTGCCGTTGTGCATCTTGAGATCCCGTTTCATGGGAAACTTTCTGTAGTCGAGACTCTTGTTTTGTTCATGTCCTGCTGCAAGCATGTCGCAGGAAGTCTTGTTTACCACTGGGGTGGGCGTCTGAGGCAGGTTCGACTTGGGTGTTTCTTGTCGGTTTTGGTGTTTCTTGTTTGCCCCCGATCCGAAGTCCTCCAGACAGTCCCTTCGCAGGGCTTTTCTTGTTCTGTCAACCCGCAAACCTTTCTAAACTCGAAACCCGGAACCCTAAGCCCGAAACCTGTAACCTTAAACTCGAAGCCTTGAACCCTCAACCCTCAACCCTAAACCCCAAACCTCAAACCCGAAACCCTAAACCCGAAACCCTAAACCCTAAACCCGAAACCCTAAACCCTAAACCCGAAACCTGAAACCCTAAACCCTCAACCCCAAAGCTTGAGGTTGGTGGCTCTCCAGTCTGGGCTCCTGCATGAACCGCGGCCTGCTGCATCCTGCCTGAGCTCCTGCGGCATGCCATCCGGCCATGCAGTGCCTCCGCAAGACTTTGGGAAACTCCGTTCCTGGATCTTCGCATTGCCATGCGGGTGGGCGAAAGATAGCATATGTATGTATATATGTATGTATGTATGTATGTATGTACAAGCCTCTCGGCTCTCGCAAGGTGGACGGCCAGCTAAGCCTGGCCAAGCCTGGGGCCTGTAAACACCAGGCAGTAGCTACCTGCTTAGGAATGCCATGTGGCAAGAGAATCCTCTCCTTGTGCCAGGGCGCAACAAGGTCCCCCGCAGACCTCTGCATTTGGACAACCATCATTTCCTTGAGAATCTGGTTGAAACCACAGTACTGGGGCTGCTGTGCAAACAGTGGATGTTCCTGTCAGAGCCAGAGCGGTTTGCACGCCAGCGACGACTGCTTGGGCGCTGGAAAGGACTGGGGGCACTGTGTGTGTTCTTTGAGGGCTGGATACTCCTTGACCCTGACGGCCGTATTCAGCTGTTTCGTAAACTTTGGACTCACTATCGTCGGTTTAGCAGAGACATGCTTCTGGTGGTCTGTGACTCCCAGTTTCCGGAGCTTAACCAGATGGACTAGCCGTGCCTTGAAGGGGGCCTGGCGGCTCTGTGGACAACGCGGAACGAGGAGCCCCCTCAGTGCTGATCCAGGTGCTGGAATACGATTTCTGTATGCGCCGAGCTTGATCGCCCTACTTGTTTGCAGCGGGCTAATCTGGCTTGTGGGAGTGCACTGCATCCTGATTGAGCGAAATGTGACCCCTGGCCGTCTCTACACGGGGCCAATGTTGGCCCTTCCAGCCGGACGACACCCTACCGAGTGCCCAGGGCATGTTTGTCGTGTCTGTCAAGTCTCTTGCTATTGCTGGAGAGAGCAGTGGATTGCCTGCACCTGTCTTGCAAATGAGAAACTTTCCTTGATGGCTCAAAGGTGTGATCACTGCGTGGATCCGGGTGATAGCTTTAAGCTGATGGCGACCCGACACACGGAGGAACCGTCCTCGGATGACATTTCGGAAGGCTCTGAGTTCACTAGTGGACCAGTTGGGCCGCGAACGGGTGGCCCCTTTGGACCACCAACCCCGCGACCAGTGCAGGACGAGCAGCCCCTTTCGCATCACCTGTCGCATTCGGTCTTCACGGCGCTCCAGCAGAGGGGTATCACGCTGCGAAGTGCTTTGACAGTGATACCATGGGGATTGGAAGGCTGCACTGATGTGACCATTGAGGTAAGGCCGCTCACGCCAGGAGACACCTTTCATCCCAATTTGTTGCATTTTGAAGATGATCCTCCCCAGGATGAGCACACTGCAGATGATGCGGAGGTCTTCCTGCCCGGGCCCACCTCCAATGCCTCCATTGCTGTGATGGCTGTGGGTGCTGGCACTACAGCACCGACCACGACAAGCATGGTCTCGGGGAGCACGGCAGCAGCCTCGACGACAGTGATGCCGGCTAGCACAATGATGACGAGCGCCCGACCCATGCCAAAGTCGAAGGCTGAACCACGTGCCAACACAAACCGGAAGCTGGAGCCTCATTTGCCCTTGCAGCCCTCACTTGATGTGCTGTGCCACCTGCCTCAGTTGGGCCACAAATCCCCTCACTTAGGCGGCGCCGTGTGGTCAGTGAGTAGTGAGACTCTGCTAGTTGGCCGGGGATGCGTGGTGACAGGTTGTGCCCACACTCAGGCTGCCCTAGGACAGACTACCCCCAACTGGCAAAGTACTTATGTATGCCACCACGATGCCGGTGCGATCATTGCCTCCAAACTGGACACCATGCAGTGGAGAAAAAGACCACAAAGCCCGTGCAAGTTGACTTGGTATTGTACCTCATGCCAGCCTCGAATGCACACGTGGTCCACCTCGACTGCGGCCAGGTACTCTATGCCGACCTTCCTGAGTATATGGCAGGGGGCCTCATCAGGGTTCAGAATGCTTCTACAGTTGCTGGGTGTGATCCTCACAACGCACCTCCTGGTTATCCTGCTCAGGCCTGAGACCACTGCCGACGTGAAGCTAGTGAAGCAGGCGGGGTCGCACTCCGGTGAGTTCGTCTATGGCAGGAAGTGTACCCGGCAATTACCAAATGCAGGTTCATCAGCTACGCTGCGTACCTCCAGGCCGAGGAAACCACACAAGGACGAGAGTTGCTCGGGTCCCAAGTCCCGAGACTGCAGCATACAACGAAGCCAATGCAGAGTGCACAGATTGCTTCAGTTTCTGCTTGTGCTACTACCAATGAAGACATGCCAAGCTGCAGTAGAGGTGAGGGTTGGACCGTTGCAACACCCTAACGGTCCTCCCACCAGACCGAGATCCCTTCCCGACAGACTACAATTCGTAAACGAGCATTGCAACGAGCTATTCGCAGAGCAGAAGGCAACGCCCAACGACAAACCTGGTACAGGGGTCGCCTTATGAGTCTTGATCAGCTCCACCCAGGCGAACGATGCACTCGAAAGGACACCCGCCCGACAAGGCTGGTGCCCCGACAGCAGCAACGGCTTCGCATAGTCACTTGGAACTGCGGAGGCCTTTCTGGGCCGCGCTACCACGAGGTGATCACCTGGTTGCGTGACGAGCATCAGGCTGGCCGCACGGTGGACATCTGCTGCCTTCAAGAAACCCATTGGAAGGAGGAGATGGAATATACCACCGCTGACGAGGCAGGTGAACTTGCTTGGCACGTCGTACACTATCCTGGCAAGGACTCTTCGGGTCTAATGTGCTTAGTCCGTGCCGGACTGGTCCCACCCACACATATCCGCACCGTATGCCTTGTACCAGGAAGAGTTGTGCATCTACGCCTTTGCTTCCAGGTGCCATTGGATGTGCTCTGCATGTATCAATACTCATGGAATACTCAGAAGTTGGAACTCACGGGCACACATAAAGTGGAGGCACTACTCAAGCAGAGGCGACAGATCTGGAGGACGCTGGACCAATGGCTTCAGGGAATACCACAGAGACATGGCTGTGTTGTTCTGGGTGACCTGAACACTCCTCTCATCCCAGACGACACCGTTGCAGGAAGTGGTGTGGTTTCTGACCGTGCTGGCCAGCAACAGGACCAGCAGGAGCTCCAGGAGCTGTTGCGAAATCACAGGTGCTGTGCCCTTAACACGTGGGCCCGACGAGGATCCACGGCTCGAACTTTTATTCCGCCTAGCACGAAGGGCAAGGAGCCAGGATCTCAGATTGACTTTGTGATCACACGTGGCAACTTGCTCGACCCCGAAGCCAAACGGGCTAGGCCGGTGGCAACGCCGTTTGTACCTACCAGTGGAGGCCGACACAGGCCTGTCATAGCCACAATTCCTCTCCCCACCCGACCGACAACCAAAGCCGGCGACAATCATGGACTTCGTCCACGGCAGATTCGAAAGGTCCTAGCGGACACCACAATGGCGACCCAGGTGGGCGAGGCAGTACGGAATCGTTTGGAGTGCATGCAACCCACTGATGCCATAGATGACCAACTACTAGAGGGGTGGCGAGCGGTTCGAGGTCAATTTCCTACCAACGATTCCACCCGACCTGTGCCTTGCCCCCAGCATGCTACTCTCACGGTTTGTGTGCGGCATCTGTGGCAACTACGTGATGATGTCCGTAAGGCCACTCAGACCCTTGGAACGTGGACGAGCCCGAGGCGGATGGCCACACGAGCCTTACAGGCATGGGTACTCCTCTTCAGAATGAACAGTCACAATCGCGAACTCCGCAAGGAGTGCCGGCGACGAAAGACGAACCGGATTGAAGAGGTGGTGCTGAGTGACAATATACATCAGGCAGCCAAACGGTTTGCTCCCAAGGCCCCAAGGAAGCGACTGCAACTACGAGATGCGAATGGCGGCATCCAGACCCACGAGGCGGAGTTCGAACAGATCAAGACCTACTTTGCTAAGTTGTATGCGGGTCCGGTGCCTGATCAGGTTGTCCTCTCCAAGGGCCCCCTCATCTCGGTGGACGAGGTCTTGGCAGCGATGCACCGGCTACAGGCTGGAAAGGCTATGCCACATAAAAGCGCACCTGCGGCTCTGTGGAAACACTTCTCCCAGGAGGTGGCTCCCATCCTGTCTGCCCAGTTCAATTTATACTTGGCCCCGGGTACCACAAGCCTGCCGCGCTCCTGGTGCATCTCCGATCTCATCCTCATCCCTAAACCAGGGAAAGCTATGAAAACACCTGGCGATCTCAGGCCACTTTCACTCCTCTCACTGCCAGCGAAGGCTTTAGCCTCGGTTGTCGCGAGCCGGTTACAAGAATATGTGATCCGGTACCTCCGGGAGGTGCCCCAATTCGCCTATGTACCAGGCCGGACTCTGGCACAAGCTCTTGAACGAGTATTTGCTCACTGTGCTGCGGTGAGGGTGGCTCTCCAACAAGGACACAACACGGTCCATGCCAAACGTCAGGGTCACAAAATGGCTTCCATATGTGGTGGCTGTATGTTGTCGCTTGACGTCTCTAAGGCGTATGACTGTGTATCACGACAACACTTGGAGGCTGCCTTGCGGGATGCTGAAGTGCCAGAGTACCTCATTGAACTTACCCTCCTCATCCATCACACTGCTTGTCTTCGCATCAGTCACTGCGAGCTTGAGACAGTCCTCCCTACCTTCCGTGGCCTCAGACAAGGTTGTTCATTGAGCCCCACCTTATGGGCACTCCTGACCGGATGGATGTTACGACAGATGGAGGACCCAGGGGTTGCTAGCATCATGTCGGCGAACACGACGTATGCTGACGACCAACACTATGCCTGGCAGGTTGGGTCTGGCCTCGAGTTGGAGGCTGCTTATGCAGCAATGAAACACATCCTCCACAGCCTCCGGAGGTTCGGGCTACAAATCAGTGCAGATAAAACCGTGATCCTTATGGAACTCCGAGGGCTACATGCACATAAGGCTCTTCAGCGCTATGTGGTTGACATGCCGCAGGGGAAGTGCGTGAAGTTCCTCCTCGATGGGGAGGCCACATACATCAGGATTGTCACAAGCCATGTCTACCTCGGAGCAGTGATAGGATACCACAAGTTTGAAACCGATACACTCCAACACAGGATGAAGCTGGCGAAGGGAGTCTACTCCAGACTGGGCAACATCCTCAGACACCGGTCTCTTCCTCTCAGACTGCGCTTGCTGCTTTGGCAAGGCTGTGTATGGCCCACACTGCTCCATGCCCTGGATAGCAGTGGCCTCCCGGGAAAGGACCTCAATACCATGCTTGTCCTGCTCCTCAAACAGGCTCGTTCCATTGCCCGCTCCCATAGTATGCTCACGAAGGAGACCAACAGATCTATCATTGATCGCCTTCGACTTCCGGACCCCGTACGGCGCCTACAACAAGCCCTCACACGGCGTGAACAGTCCGACAGTGCACTTGGAAACTCGGTGAGACCAGGCCCATCACAGCTCCAGTGGCGAACGATGGTGAGGGGCCACCTTTTTGATTCAGCATGTGTGTGGCATGCCCGCCCAGTGGAAGGTGACTCAGTGACCAAACTCTGCCCTGTGACCCTGGTTGTGCATGAGCAATTTGAGTGTGAAGTTTGCGGGCAATGCTTCAGCACACAAGCTGCACAGAGACGACACATGTACCTCACACATCTCACACAAGAACAACAACAACAACGAGATGACGAAGTCAAGAGCTCTCTGACAGCATCAGCTATGGATCACTCGGTGGACGGAATGCCCACCTGCAAACACTGCAAGCACAAATTCTGTACTTGGCATGCCTTCAATTACCACATTAGCTCGCAGAGCTGCGAAGGCCTACGCAACCTACACAATCAACAACATACAGACCGAAGTGTTCCACAGAGTGATGCTCTTATTGCCTCTGATGAAATCCTTCAGCTTGCTGGTGATTGTACATGGCAGCAGCTTGCACTTCATCCGGCTGTGCAGGCCAAGCATCATCACTGCCCGGAATGCAACCATTGGTCTAGTACCCCCCAGTACGTGAAGCGCCACATGTTGAGCCAGCATCCGGAGTGCAGGGAAGTGATTGAGACCTGCATGGAAGCGATCAAGGCGAGTAAATTGAGCTTGACCAACCCTTGTCAGTACTGCAAGATGGAGTTCAAACGTAAGGATGCACATTTGCGGTCGTGTATTGGCATCTTTCATGGTGTATATTTGCACCGCCGGCTAGCCAGGGGACAGAAAGTAGTGCTTGAAGGGGCGGGCACCGCTGACCTCTCTACAGTTGTTCAACATGGAGGACGAGTCGATGACGAATCCGGACGAGCTGGCCAAGGCGACTGCCGAGCTGGACCTCCTACGGACCTTGGCCCCGCAGGTGTTGAACGGCAGCTCCTCACCGCCGACGACCGTGGGATCCACCACCAGCAACGAGCAACTGGAGGAGAGACCCCAAAAGTGGCAAAAGCCCGGGCAAAAAGGGCAACAGGGCGGACAGCCAAAGGGCAAGGGCAAAGGGCCGAAGTCCGCACACTCAGCCAACTCTTCCAAGCACAACGGCTGGGGTCGAGGAGCATGGAGCAACCAGGTGGCGGACCACCAGACGAACCAGTGGCCGGAGGACAACAAGCCGATCACCAGAGCCGAGTTCGCGCAGGTGAAGACGATGCTGAACATGGTCACGACCCTTGTCATTCGACACGAAATTCAGCAGAACATATGCCGGCTGGACTCAGGCTTCATGCTGTTCATCCAGACCACCACACCGGACAGTCTGGCTCACTCCACTTATCAAGTGGGAACGGCCTGGCATCAGATGAAGCAGAACACGCCGGAGAAGCTCAGCCAACCCATGCGTGTCGTACTGTTTCAACACTTGCTGGTGACGGTGAAGCAGAAGTTCGAGGCGATGATGGCTACTCCGTCCTCCCGGTCGATGGCAGAAGGTCTAGGATGGATCTCAGCCACGGGAGATGCGGTCTACGGCCTACGATGGAATGCGGAGACGATGAAGCACGAGAAAGACCCCAACCTCCCGAGCTTACGCCCGGCAGAGATCAAGGAGGCCCTGGACGAGCTCCTCAAGCTGAGTGTGAAGCCGATGGTGATCCACCGCTACCATGCGACGAGGCAGATGTCCGAGACCTACAGCTCGCCTACATTGGCCATGATGATCGAAGTGGGAGCTCGGCTCGAAGAAGCCCAGCTAGTTTGGAAACGACTCCACCTCCTGAGCCAAAGCGCGGCTTGGACGGCAGCAGGCTGCTTCTTGAGACACGAACGCCTCAAGTTGGGAGCCCTGGCCACCCGCCTCAAGAGCCTAACCCTGTGATGCTGGTGAACCTTGGAAACGAGGGCAACTTCTGTTACATGAATGTGATCCTGAAATGCCTGTGTCACGTGGCTTTTCACTTGGGAGATTGGAAGAGGTTCTTCAGGGCTGAAGCGCTTGGGTTTCTTCAGTGGTTCGAGAGGGGTTTGCAGGTTGGAACTGTTCACCTCTGGCAATCTCCCACATGGGTACACATGCTGCAAAACTGGGGTGAACCGCTCCGACAACACGATGCGGCAGAGTTCTTGCAGTTTGTACGTGACCAAAGGTGGTTTGTGCCCGAGGATGTTACCCTCACTTGGCAAGCTAGATACTTGGATGAAAACGGGCAGGCACAAACTGCTGATGGTGGGGATTCACTTCCGTTGCTTGTGCAACCTCCGACGGGGTGGCCGGAGAATGATGATGGGCTGACGATTTCGGTCCAGCGACTTGTGGAACAGTGGCAGAATCAGGGTTGCAAGCATGCCATGCTGACTCCTGCCAAGGCTTTCATTTTGCAGGTAGGGCGCTTTCACCGTGATTCCGAGTCAGGGATCACTACCAAACGCAGGCATCGTGTTGTTCCTAGTCGGTTCCTCGATGTTCCGGTGTTTCGTGAGGGACTCGGAGTCAGGCCTGTGCTCTATCAGCTCGTAGCCGTGGTCTTGCACATAGGGAGCGTTCCCTTCCAGGGCCACTACCAGGCTTTGCTCTATGACATTCATGACGGTGAAGCTGTGTACTTTGCTGATGATGGAACTCGAGCGTGCAGGATTTCGCCTGCTCGTGTCCAGGACATGTGCCGTGACACTTATTTGTTTTGCTATTGCAAGTGCCTGTAGTCAAGTCCTGCTGTGGGCATTCGTGCCGGGGACAGTCGGGAAGGGGATTGCACATCAGTGCAGCATTGGGCCGGGCTGAAAGCTTGATCCCCAATACTTTTCGTTAGCTGAGTACAGACTCTGCCACGTGGAAAGTGAAAAGTGAAAGTATGTATGTACATATATATATACACACATATATATATACATACACACATATATATGTATGTCTGTGTATGTATGTATGTATGCATGCATGTATGTGTGTATGTATGTATGTATGTACATATATATATATATACACATGTATGTATGTCTGTGTATGTATGTATGTATGTATGTATGTATGTATATATATATATACATACACATAGCATGGTCTATATATGTATACATGCACTGTGTATGTATGTATATATATATATATACATATACATATATACATAAACAATTTCTGATCCTAACATGACTATCCGGGCCACTCAGCCGATCGGCACGCTCGTCTTAGAAGAGTGGATCACCCGATCACTGTCACCTCGCCTCCCGGGATCCCAGTCGTGCTACGCAAGTTTTACAGGGTTTGGGGTTGCAGAGAAGTCGGCTGAAGGCACAAGGCTGTGAAGGCTGCGACTCAGGAAGCTCACGAATAGCTGCTTGGAAGTATTACCGCAAAGCAGAAATTCGCCACAGGACCTGCAACTGAACATGTCAGGCCCTGGAAGCCCGCCGTCCCTGTTCCCCGCCGGAACTATAAAATACATGTAGTGTCCTCTTTTTCTGGAAAATCTTACTACCCACCGCGCTGGCCACGCAAAACAGACCTCCGCCTCTCCACTTCTCAGCTGCCTCTGTACATGTTACAGAGAAGCGCCTCTTTCGTCCCGGCGATGTAGGTTGCTGGGATCGGATTCGCCTGAGATTCCGCTTTTGCGGGACCTTGAAGAGGGTTTAAGGTTTAGGGTGCTAGGGTTTAGGGCGTTAGGGTTTTGGGGTGTTACGGTTCAGGGTTTAGGCCAGCTGGTGTGCTGTTCGTATCTGACGAGATGATTTTGCCTAAAGCTCAAGGCACCCGGTGTAATGTAGGAACCTGATTAAGAAACCTTGGGCCTTTATTTGGCTCCTTATCTGGATCCTATTATTTTGGGGGTTATAGGCCCAGGGTTTCTTAATGATGTAAACCTAAACCCTAAACCCTCAACCCTCAACCCTAAACCCTAAACCCTAAACCCTAAACCCATAAAGACCTAAACAACCCAGAACCCAGGACTTTGGAGGCTGATGTCCTAGGTTTGCCCAGACTGTGCCCAGGTGGTCTGCATGAGCCTGATGGCATTCCTGCATCCTGGTTGAAGTTATCCTACACCCTAAACAAGCCCTAAACCCGTAAACCCCTAAACCCCTAAACCTTAAAACCCTAAACCCTAAAACCTTTCAGATGCAGACACTCCGCAAGTGAAGGGGGACCCTACGGTTCCGAGTTGCACAGCCGGCCCTCTGGCTTCATGCAGACAGATTGCCGTGCTTGTGGGAATGAAGCGTCTTCTTGACTCGGGATCCTTGCTGCAATGACTCTTGTTGCAACCGTTCCTTATGCCTAATACGGTGGGAAAGCCGAAAGCCTTCATCGGGAGGTGCTGAAGACTTGCGGCTATTGACGCATTCGGAAGGCTTCAGTAGACTGATCTCGAAGCCGTTTATCCTCTTTTTCTGGCCTCACCCGGCGCTCGCGCAACCTGCTTTCAACCTCATATCAGGCTCCGACATGGAGTGTTCGAGCTTTTCCCAAGACAAGAAGCTAAGGTGGTGCGAGCTCTGTAGCCGCAAAGGACCAGCTCTGCTTCTCGAAGCTGTGAGGAAAGCTCTGTGGAGTTTGTGGGATTCAGGGATTCGGGGCTTCATAAACACGTTGCCGCGATTCCTCTGTGACTTCCTTGGACTTTTGAGACTTTGTTTTTGGGTTCTGGGCATGATGCTGAAAAGATGAGGGATTTGCAGGTGGTGATCCGGAAGTCCTGGAATGTAGATGCGGATATTGGGGGGTAGTCGACTTCCCACGATGCTGACCTTGGGGTTTTTGGGACTTTGCTGGAGGTTAGGGCTTGGCTGGGTTTGTGTTCGAAGTTCTCGACTCAGACCTCAGACTGTGTGGATCTCGTAGGTATCCTGGACAGTCATGGTCGCCACAGCCAAGCCACGAGAGCCTCACAACTCGCAGCCCCGAAGATGTGCGAAGGTCCAGGGCTGCAGAAAGCAGAACTTCCAAGTCCTGAGCCCTTGGCCCAAGCCGCATCACAGCAGCACTTTGCAAGAGTACCACTCTAGGGCTTCTGCCAAGGCCGCAGCGGTGTGGACTCTGCGCCCTCGCGACATGGCTCTGTTACGTATGTTTTGAAGCCGTGGTTCGTTGAGGCTGCGAGGGACTCAGGTTCAAGTCTGTCTGAAGTCTGTCTGCAGGTTGTTAGTGTTGTTCTTATGAAGCCGCTTCCAGTGCTCAGTCTTCAGTGTTAGCTCAACTGATGAATCACTGTCCTACCGTGGCCAAGACTGCCGGCAGTTTTTGCATAACCGTATGACAAGTGCAATGACGGTACCGTTCATTTGTACCTCAGTACTGGTAGCAGGACTGCAGCAGAGATCTTCACTTTCCATCTTCATCGCAGTCTCTACGTATCTCCACCAAGATTGTCATCATCTGGCCGATGCTCTTGCAAGTGTCAGTGCCGTTGCGATCTCCAGCCATAACTTTGATCGTGGGCAGAACACTGCTTCCTCGATTTCCGCGCTATCTGCTGATTGACCAACGTGTCCTGCCGCAGCTAGCTTGGCCGGAGACAAGTGTAGTCGTGTACAGAATCAGAGGACTGTGTCCTCCGGCTCGCGTTTATTCCATATCCAATGAAGCAATTGTTATGGCCGCGATTCTCCTGGGCCATGATTTGGCATCGGGCTCAGTTTCGGCGTTTCCGAGGGCCTGCGCCATGCTTGAGAACGTTCTTGCAGTTACATCAAGTTGCTTGTGGTATCTGCCTGCTTGACATTCCTTGGCCTTGAGCTTTGGAAGGACAATTCTATCCATGGCTGCTGCAATGAAGCTCGGGCAGGCTGGCTGTTGCTGCCTCATCAAGTTCGCAGTGATTTGTTACCGGATCAGTTTGCAGCGGTGTTGTTCCGTGCTTACTTGGACCGTGTTTGACCTGATGCAGGAGTCGAACACCGATGCAGAAGCTACCGTCCACATGCACACCGCAGACTCTGAACACCTTCACGGGTCTGCAGGCGAGATGCAGCGCAAGCTGCTGGCCCGCTCGAGAAGCACGTCGAATGAGCGAGCCAGCGCATTCGTATCAAGTTCTGATGACTCACTCGATGCCGCAGTGTCGGGAAAGATTTTCGGCAGCATCGTCGACACTTTTGAACAGCTGGGAAGCGTTCTTACGGATGCAGGCGCACGATCCTTTGTTTGGTTTTACCTTGCCCTCGTGATTGTCAAGCATTTTTCGAGGGCAATGGACACATGAAGGGAAGGGTCCATATCTGCAAGTGCTAAACCCTCAAACCCCCAAACCCTGAAACCCCAAACCTGAAACGTTAAACTTGTTGAGGCATGGAAATCGGCACGGCTGTGGGCAATTCCGCCATGGTGATCGGCAAACGAGTCATCGAACCACCGAAGTTGAAATTCGATGAAGGCTTGCTGGGTGTAGTCAGTTCCATCGGAACAGCTCCCCTACAGCTCAGCGACAGAACCACTGATGTTATATCAGTTACAGCGCGGCAAGCAACCCAGCTGGCACGAACCACGTTGGAGCATGCGAAGAAAGGAGTTGCACAGGGCGAGAAGATCGCCTCAAAGGTTGGGAACCTCATCGTAGACAAGGCCAGTGTGTTGGGAAACCCGATCGACAAGGTTGGGCCTTTGGCAGCAGGCTTGCTGAGTGACGCCTGGAGTGAGATCAAGTCGTCCCTCAGTTGCTTCGACATCAAGCTCTCTCTTTGCCACCTCCTGCTTGAGAGGCAGTGTGATTGCGACGCAGGAAGCTACGTCAACATCACGGGCGACTGGATGGAAGTGCGGTGCGTCTTCTCGCGCACCTCCGAGTTTACAAAATCTTTGGGTGTCAGGGCCACGGTGGACAGTGATGGCGACAGCAACCTCCTGCCCGGAGGCGAGTATGAGGAGGCCTATTCGACGTGGGAAGACCTAAAAACGTCCACAGAGGGCTTGAACGAGACTCGGTTTCAAGGCAGTGCCGTTTGGTCTCATCTCGAGCTTGTGCGTTGCACTTTCCACGAGGTCTATTCCCAGCAGGGTTCAAGGATTTTGGGGTCTGTAGGGTTTGGGGGGTGACGACTGCACGGTTCCTTTTTTCTTGTGTCTTCTTTTTGTACTTCCTGGGCTTCAGGGTTTAGGGTTTAGGGGCTTCAGGCGATGCAAGCGGAAGGCCCGGAGGGCGCCTGCGAAACAGAACTGAAAGTGGCCGTGGACGGGAAGACGCAGTGGAGCCCCGACATGACCGTGTATGTGGAGGAGAACGGAGACACCAGGCCCCCGGGGCGAGGGTTTGGGGGGGTTAATGAGGGTTTGGGGGTTGAGGGTTGAGGGTTTTCTTCGTGGCTCAACTTGTGCTCAAGAGTATGATTGGCGTCTCCGGTCCGGTTAAGTGTCCACAGGCAGGTCAATGGTGTCATGGCAGCCATGGCCAGCCTGGTGTAGTGGCAGAATGAGAGTCTGTAGGCGACTTGAAATCTAGCAATCTAGCCCGAACTCCGAGGGCCCTTTTTGCCAGCCGAGGATCAGAATCAGCGCCTCAGTTCAGGGCTCCTACGACACGATCGTTACAGGACAGGGCAGCTGCAGCTACACGCTCAGACGAGGCCTGCCGGGCGTTGTTGGGTAGAAGCTGAGAGAGCCATGAGGCACCCCAAAAGTGCACGTGCAATTCCAGAAGGGCTCTGATGCAGGCATACCGGAACAGCCCAAGACGAAGGTGTTTTGTGCCGGGAAGTTCTGCATCTCGACTTGATGGGCGTGACATGCAGAAGACCGTGAGCCTCATGTGCAGGCCAGCTTCCGACCAGGTCAGTTCCAGGCAAGGCAAGTGCCCCCAAGTTCATTCGCATTCAAGGCCCTTAGGCCCTCCCCTAACGGCTGACCTCTCGTAGCTGCTGCAGATATCTGCAGATGCTATCCTAGGCGTCATGATCTCGCTTCAAATGATTGCAGAACTGGTTGGAGAGGGGGTCCTCACTGGAACCATCGACATGTCGAACGATGTCGAATTCCAGATCTCCGCCGAAGTCTTCGCCAAGAAGAACGGCGAGTTCACAGTTTCTTTTAGCAGCAACGAAGTCACGCACGAGGCTGGAGTCGAAGGAAGCAGTACTTGGAGGGGCAGGGGATTTAGTAAGTCGGTTATAAGTACCCTAAATGGAGTTACCCCAATTATAACCCTACTTATAACCTTCTTACTAAGTCCCCTGCCCCTCCAAGTAGGACGATGCTGCCTTCTCACCTCGTCTAAACCTTCCTTGGAACCCTGTTCCAGGAAGCCGCTCAGATCGGGGCGAGTGCAGAAGCAAGGTTGACACTCAGTGTGGGGCCAGAGCTCGTAGAAACTTGGCGGCAGCAATAGCCATTGAAGCTTCACTTTCACAGCCTCTTTTCAGCGATTCACTCCTCGAGAGTTTCGAGTCGAGCCATAAGGTGTGGCCTATGCCTGGTATTCCGATTACACTTGCGCCCAAGTTCCACGCTGAAGCCAAAGCGAAGGGCACTATCGGAGTCCCTGCAAGCTCTTCGCTTGTCCTTAGGAGCTGTGAGTGGATACACTTTGCATTTCTTGGAATACTATTACGCACTATAAAGCTAGAAGTGTACACTTTGTGGGGCTTATGAACTCAGCCTCAGCAACTAAGTGTCTGCATCTTGAGGTTGCATGAAGTTACCATGCCGGTGCCTGCTGAGGCTCGCTCCTTCAGGAATCGGAGTCGGTGTCCCATCCCGGGAACCGCCCAAATGCAAGCGTGGAGCTGCTGGAGTCCAAGGAGCTGGGTGGTTGAATTCTTCATGCTTTGTGTCGTCCGGCCCATCTGTTGTAGATTTGATACAAAATCTGCTCATAATTAGGAAAGCTTCTTGCTTACTTGCTTATCTACCTGGGAGCTTCTTTTGGAACTTGCGGTTCGCGTTACAGGGGTTGTGCTGATCGAGGATGTCTCGGGTCGACGTTGAAAGGAAGTGCAGGTCCTCTCTGGTGACAGTAAGCTACGAGTAAATATGATGTGGCGACAAGTCTAGACAAAAAGCTCCAGAGAACCCTAAACCCTAAACCCTAAAACCCCAAACTCCAGAGAACCCTAAACCCTAAAACCCTAAACTCCAGAGAACCCTAAACCCTAAACCCTAAACCCTAAAACCCTAAACTCCAGAGAACCCTAAACCCTAAACCCTAAACCCTAAAACCCTAAACTCCAGAGAACCCTAAACCCTAAACCCTAAAACCCTAAACTCCAGAGAACCCTAAACCCTAAACCCTAAAACCCTAAACTCCAGAGAACCCTAAACCCTAAACCCTAAACCCTAAAACCCTAAACTCCAGAGAACCCTAAACCCTAAACCCTAAACCCTAAAACCCTAAACTCCAGAGAACCCTAAACCCTAAACCCTAAAACCCTAAACTCCAGAGAACCCTAAACCCCAATGTACTTAAAGGATCATGGGACTTAGTAAGTAGGTTATAATTGGGGTTATAAGTCCCCTAAGTGGGGTTACCCTAATTATAAGCTACTTATAACCTTACTTACTAAGTCCCATGAGCCTTCAAGTTGGGGATATAGACCCTCTCAATAAGGCCCCTTTTAAGAGAGCCAGAAGTAGGGTTCAGAAGGGGTACCCTTTAAGGGGTCTCCCTAATAATACTACCTAATGTAGGATCTTTCAGCATGAGACTTCAGAAGGCCCTTGAACCAGGAACCTGGTTTAGTCAGCTACGAAAAGCTGCTAAAAAGGGCCCCGGTTTCAGGGTTTCGGGCTTGTGGTCTAGATGCAAAAGATTTATTGAGGTAGACTCCGAGGAGGCCCATGAGTCTTCTTAAAGTCCGTCGCCCTGATCTTCCAATCTTCTTGCATTCAGGACATCACTTTACGCATAGTCTAAAGACTAGATCCGGGAGCTCCTGCGGAGCCCCATTCCCCTGAATGAGTTCTGTACCCTCAACCTTAAAAATTATGCTGTATTCCAGAAGACCCTGACCGACAAGCTGAAGCCGTGCCATGCCGCCGCCGGGAGCCCGGCCTTCTTTCCTGGGTGAAGGTCTTGATTGCAGGTTGTGGGCTTTAGGCTGAGTGCAACCCGACCTATTCTGGGGGCTTGGGGTTTTAGAGTTCAGCTCAAGTTTAACTTCAGGGTTTCTAGAGGCTTAGTCTTGGATTTGAGCTCTCAGGTTTGCGGAGGTCTTGAATTGGGGTTCGGGGAGTGGATGGGAAGGTGTGTTACCAGGTTCAGGCCATGTCGGAAGTCGCCGCACAGGCCGTGAGTTTGTACACCGACTTTACCATCACCGGCTTCGGGATCCCACAGTGGTTGAAAGATTGGTTGAAGGACGATTTTCTCCAGAGCAGGATCAGAGACGCCATCAAAGAAGGCTGCTCTCCATTTGTTTATAGGGTCCTGAGCTTGGGCAGCTAGGTGCTACTGCTACAGCCCCAAGACCGCCAATGCCGGTACCCTCACTTTGAACATGCCCAGGTGCAAAAGCGATGCTGCAGATGTGGCCAGACGATTGCGTCCCTGGTGGTGAGGTCAAGCTCAAAGTCGAGCAGGCTGCCATTGATGCAGGGCATGCTATTGCGGCCCTTATCCCCGGGCTGCAGATCAACTGGGACTTGAAGCCGATTCTCCTGCTAAAGCCTCAGATCTTCTTCTGTAAGGAGGTGTGGACAGCACCGGAGAGGCCGGAGTTCGAGAAGGCCCCCTGCGCCGAAGACCTCGGGTGCCGGACCGCTGGCCAGGACCCGCCCGATGACTCGGAGGTGGAGGCTGTGCCGCCGGAGCAGGTGGTCACAAAAAGTCTAGAGTCAGAGGACGCCTCGTCCTGCCCCAGCGGTCTCAAAATGGGCGACCGCCTGATCGAGCTGGGCGACTTTCGCATCGCCGAAATCGATGTGAACCACCTTTCGCTCTCGCACAGGGACCCTGCCTGCTGTGTCTGCCTAGACTTTTAGCCCTAAGCCGCAGACTTCTGGGACGGCGTGTCATGGCTCTGACATGCTCTGACTCCATAGTGTCTGCTGTGAGGACGGGAGGGTCGGCGTGGTGTGGAAGAGCGACGGAGAAGTTTGGCGCGGCCATCTTCGCGAAGGAAGAACAGAAACTACATGGGCGAAATACAACTCCTGGGGACTGAACAGGCGCTCGGCTCGGTGTTGCAACCTGTTGTGCGAAATCCCTACCTCTGAATTGACTCCAAGTGCTACTCGACGGCTCTAAGCCCCTAAACCCTACACCCATGAACCCTGGAAAGGCCTGTCGGACCTGGAAAAGGCGAAAACATTAAGTTCGGCTATGAGTTTATCCAGATTGGCAAGTTCCGCCTCGGGGCCATCGCCAACGAAGACCACTCATACTTCTCGGTCTCGTGCTTCGGCAAAGTTTCGAAGTGTGGAGACTCCGGGCTTGGCTTGGGGGTTTTTGGGGGTTCAAGGTGCAGAGTCAAGGAGAAAGGTTCTTTTTCGGGGTGGCTGGGATTTAAAGTCAACATTCCTGGGTCCTAGGATACGATGTGACAAATTCGGTTGCACGACGGGTCGTTCATCAAAGCAAACTTGTGGCAAGATGGGTAGTTGGGCGGAAATCAAAGCAATAGCTCGAATTGCCCTCGTGTTCTGTTTTGTTTCATTTTGCGATAAAGAAACCTCAGACGCATCTGTCCTAAATGTCGGGCCCTTCTCCCGAGCCGCGTGCGGGGCCGCTGCTGCGCTTGTTCAGAGGTGCTGTCGCACGCTTTGGCACGATGTGCGTACTGGCACAACAGCAACAAGCCAACTCGTAGATGTCCTGCTGTCTGCGTGCTTCGTCTCTGTGTCCCCTGTTCTTTGGCTGCTGCACCTTTTCGGCTTAATATGGGGGCATAAAAACCTGTACTGTTTTCGGGGTTCCTTATTCTAATGATAGTAGAATGGGCCCCAGAGCCTTATTCTACTTATTACGGCCCCTGCATTACTGCTTTGCTCAATTGGTGCCGCCCTTTTTGTGGCTCGTCTCTGCGCTGCTTGCTGCTTGGCTGTCCGGGTGGGCCTCTTGCTCTGTTCTGGCCTCGTCGTGCATCTTCCGCTTGCTCCTCGGTGTCTTTTGCACATATCCTATAAGAATAGTCCTAAGTGTAGTTATGGAACATAAGACTTGTTCCTGACCGTAGTGAGAATGCCGTCGTGAGTTTTGTAGTTCAGGCATGCTACAACCGGGAAGACGGCGATGGTCTTAGACGACGAAGGGACTCACATGTGGGGACCCCGCGATGCCTCTCGGCAGGTTTAAGCACATGGCCGGATACCCCGCTGAATCGCAGGCAATGTTGCAGAAGCTAGGTGATGGCTACAAAGGGGGCACTTCAGATATTTCTCGTCGAGGCAGTGTTGAATGTTGGGTCAGACAGGAAACCTGGCACTGTTTGAACGGCCGTTGCTCATCCATTCGGAGTTCGCAATGGTTTTCCCGCCAGTTGTGACCAGGACAAAGATGTCATGGATCGCCCTGACGGAGTTGCGGCGGGCATAAGCTATGGAGACAAGCTTCTCGGTTCGGAGAGTTGTGGCCAACTGGGGTGCTCGATTTCACGAGGGACTGAATGCAGGAACGTGCAATGGCATCCAGGGTCCAAGAGGACCTCAAACCCTCAACCTGCCTGAAAAAGGATTTCCTTCTAGGTTCAAAGATACAGCGATCTCAACATTGTTAGTAGAGAAACCTGAAAATCCACCAAACTAGGAGTTCAAGAGCTGCGCAAAATAGGGGAGACATAGAAACCGCGGGAAACATAGGATAACAGTAAACCAAGATGAAAATGGGAATACCTAGGAAACACGGTAGTAACTATGAAAGCTACAAGAGTCTTAAAGAATAGAAGAGTCCAGGAGAAAGGTTTTCTCTTGCCGGCATCTTCGTCGCCATGTTCGCTCTATTTGCCTGTGGAAGGTGCTTCAGTACTTGACTCTTAGAACCGAATGTGAAACGTCGGCGATGCTCTCTCAAGCTTCTCAGGTTGAGGGTAGCGGCCCATGGTTCTCGATCAGGCCCTATCTGTGCTGAGGGTCCTCCACCAAGGTGCCTCTACGAATCTTTGGGGGCTCGGCTGCCCCTTTTACTGTGGCTCCGGGGCAGGAGCCCTGATTGCCAGCTTTCTGCTGGGATTGATCTTTGGGGCAATTGCAGGTGCCGCTGGTGCCTACTACTTTCTGGTGATTGCTTTGAGGCCTGCTCCTGAGCAGGCCCCGGACCTTCAGCCGCCTCAGGCTGTTCTGCTGGCCCGAAGGAGGGCTCGTCTGAGTGGGTACGTTGCATGAGTGAGGACGAGACTCCTACCTGGGATTTGTCTCTGCAGATCGAGGGTCTGTCCCTTAGGCTTCGGGGTCTTAGGGTTAGTCCTGCCCGTTCCTCCTCGCCAACCTCCTCCCTTTCGGGTTTCTCAGTAGTGCCTCAGGAGCCTCGGCTAAGCCCTAGGTCCCTAACCCGTGCTACTCCGCCTGAGCCTGTTCGCAGCTCGGCGGCCCCGCCTGCAACCACCCAAGGCATTCAATCTGCACCTTGCTCGGCTGTCGCCCCAGGATACTACAGTCCGGACCGCAGGTCCTCGTGTGCCTCTCTCCTGCCTGGAGATAGCTCTGCTTCCTCAGCTTCCGCTGTGCCTGAGTACCCCTTGCCCAGTCGGCTGCCGACTCTGAGGTTTGAGGCTAGGCAAGCAATTGCTGCGTCTTTTGCCCCTATCCCTGCACATTGCGTTGACCTCTGCCGGGGTCTTTCAACTGCGGAGCTCAGCCCCACTGAGCGTGCTGAGCGTGCTTGGCTTGCTGGCTGTTGGGCCGGTGCTGTGCTGAGTGGGCTTGTTGATCGCCCGGACCCTTCGGTTCCCTTGCCTTTGAGCTCCAGGTTCTACTGCATTTTGAGGGCCAGGGGCCTGGGACAGCCTGTTGTTTGCTCCTCGCTCACCGCTTTCAGGCGGGTCATCGGCCCCACCCTGGGTGATTCGATCTCCCACGGCTTCCCTTCCTCTTCTGAGGCCCGAGTGTTCTTTGCCGGGGCAAACTTGCCCTACCCTGCCTCTCTCACTCGCTGATGGACCTGCTGGTGGCCTACGAGTCCGGCACAGTGGAACTGGTTGAACTCTCGTGGCCTCCGGGATCGGAGGAGGGCGGCTCGCAAATATGCGTCGGCTATGTTATTATGAAACGGCCCTCTGGATTCTTGCTTTGTGTTCCGGAGGGTTTCATGTCCCAGGCGGAGTTGGAAAACGGCCAGGCCGCGATGGAGCTAGAGGGCGTGGGCCCCTCTACTGTCATCAGGGCGCCTCCTGTGCAGCTAGCGGCCTCGGGGGAATGGGTTGCCGCTCCCGAGGGCGAGGAGGAGGTTCCGGCACTTTTGGTGGATCTAGCCGCCCCGCTGGCGGAGCAGATCAGTCCTGTCGACTTGTCGGCCCCCGACCTTGTGCTTTTCCGCCCCGGGCAGGCGATGATCTTTCCTCTTGCGTCGGATGTGCTTCGCCAGGCGCGGGAATGGCTGACGACAGATCCCTTCCCAGCCGAGCGGGGCGGCTATCACACCGCACAGTCGGCCCCGGAGGGCCCGTCTCCTGGGAAGGCCAGGCAGGCAAAGCCAAAACGGCCTACGGTGCAACAGCTGGCAGCCCAGCAAGAAAGGATGATGGAGCTGATGGCTTCCCTTGTCGGGCGGATGGATGCACTGGCCCCTGCTCAGGCGCCGGCCGCTCCTGTGACGGCGGCGGAGTCTCCTGTGCCTCAGCCCGCAGCCCCGCATGCCGTGCTGAGCCGCCCCTTGGCCGCTGTTCTACCTCCCTACCAAAGCGCTCCGAAGGCTCTCGCTTCTGTGGTGGGCCCGCCACCTCCTGCCCGAGCTCAGCCTGTGGCGGCAGCCCAGCAGCCAGACAAGGAGGAGCAGGCCAATGCACATCTGGATGTGGGCGCCCACGGTCGAGACAGGCAACTCTTCCCTGGCGTCGGCGGTCTGGCTCAGAGCCAGGCCCTTGTGGCACTGGTGTCGCAGATGTCGCAGGGCGTTACGGACCCTCTGTTGGAAGCCCAGCCCGGTCAGTCAACTTCGGTCAGGGGTTCGGTAGGCCGTGCAAAGCTCCAGCAGGAGCTCTCAGCCCGCACTGGGGCGTTCGCCGATCGTATCCGCGAAAACATGACGCGCAGGATGGATCCTACTGGGTTGCTGGCCGAGGATCAAGTGAGCTTTCTGCGGTTCCTGGAGCGCCACGGGGGTTATGCAAATCAGCAGTTGCTAGGTCTGATAGCATGGCAACTTGCCCAATGCCTCGACCTGCTGCATATTGGTTCCACCGACGGCGCTCGAGACGCCTTGAGCCTTCTGCTGGTGATGGTGGAACAGGTGGCCCGCGACCGAGGCAGCCATACTCTGGGCTGGCTTCTGACATTGCAGGCCGATCCTCCTTTGGGTGTTTTCCAGCCGCAAGCGACCCTCCCTGGTTCCCAGATTCAGAGCTTCACGCCACTGTGCGATCAACGCTGGATCACAGTGGCATTAGCCTACACAAAGGAACTCGAGACAATCGCCGGCCGGGTTGCCGAGAGTTCGGTGAAGCCTCCGCTGCCCCGCTCTCTTGTCGAGTCCGGGTCGCGGTCTTCCCCGGCTGCCTCTGCCTCAGCTTTTGGTTCTGCCTCGTTCCCTCCTTCAGCCCCTTTTGATTTGGGCTCCGCTTCTAAGCGTGTTCCTGCACCGACCTCTCCGGAGGATGGCTTTGACTTGGGCGAAGCCCCCGGCACTGTGTTCCCTCTGGAAGGTACGGCTGTGGATGAGGAATCCGGTTTCTCTTTTGTGGCCTGGATTTCGGCCTTGCCTCGCTTGTTGCACTCTGGCAGGACCCAGTTTTCTCGGTTTCTTTTATCGACCACTCGTCTCTGCGGGGGGCCCCTGCTCGCCCCTACTTCCGCCCTCTTCCCGCTTCCTCTCCTTCGGGACGGGATCTTCCAAAAGCGGGCCCGGAGGAATGCACCATCTTCTTTGAGGCTGGCTGTCGACCGCTGCGTTCATTTTGTCAGCATGGGCTTGAACTACATGCACGCAGGCTGCCGCCCCGTTCCAGTGCATTCCCTCCGGAGGCGCTTAAATCCTATCCAGGTCCAGACCTATGAACGGATTGAGGCGCTCGTTTGGGCGTGCGCTCGCCAGGCCGGTCATGTACCTTCCTGCGCGGGCCGTCGTGGATTGCATTTGGCCACCCGGCTCTCCGAAGTGCTTTCCTACTGCAAGCGTCATGGACTTGACGCCGGGCCCTACGGGGCCGAGTCGGCGCTGCCTGAGGGCGCCGTCTGTGGCGCCGGCGCGGCTGAGGCTCTGCAGCCTTATCGGAGCATTCGTGCCGACCAAGTCGTTCTTCACGGGAAGGGTTGCTGGGACCTCTCTAGACACCTCGGCCCTGACCTATACTTGCCCTTCGTTGAGCCTGAGGTCTTTCGGTTTTCTGGGTCGGGTGCTCCGTGTGCTACTTTTGCTGGCGAGGATAAAGCCGAGATCCTTAAGCTTTGCAAATTGTGGGATGCTTCGGGCCTTCTCGGTCTGACTCCCGGCCCCTTGCCGGAACGGCTCTGCACAAGGGTCTTTGGAGCCTTTAAGGGTCCAGGCCAACAGCGACAGATAGGGGACCGCAGGGGCCAAAACTCTCTTGAGTGCCAGCTGGTGGGCCCTTCCCGCTTCCTCCCAGTCGGCCCGTTGTTGTGCCGAGTGCATGTCCCCTCAGGATCTTGCTTGGTCGGCTCGGTCACCGACAGGCGTGACTTTTACACTCAAGCGGCTGTTTCCGGGGAGCGGGCACTGACGAACGCTGTCGGCCCAGCTTTGCCTCTGGACTGGTTTGCTGGCACCACTGCTTTTACGGACCTCTTGGCTGCCCCGTCGCGGCACACCGTTGATCCCGGCCTCTACGCCAGATCCCTGCCGTTTGACCGACCATCCCTCCTCTGCGACCGCAAGCCCTACGTCCACCCGACCTTTAAGGCTTTGTTCCAAGGGGATGCCGGGGGGGTCGAGTTTGCTACGGCTGGGCACGAGGGCTTACTGTTCAGCTATGGGTGCCTTCGCGGGCCAGGCCGGCTTCAGAGCAAGCACCCAGTCGCCCCACAGGGGCCTTGGCAGGGCTTGATAATAGACGACTTCTTTGCTTTATCTGTTGAGCCCCGCGACTTTGCCGAAGGTGCCCGGTGCAGCTCCTCTGAGCTTATTGCCCAGGCCAAGGTTGGCTACAGCGCCGAGGGTGTGATAGGGTCCGACAGCAAAGACGTCGTCAGTGCACGGGCTTTTAAAGTTGCGGGGGCTGAGGTCGACTCTACACCGGCCACCGTGAGCGCAGGCGCAACACTCTGTGGCTACCCCGTCCACAAGCGTCTCGCGCTGGCCGCCGCATCGGTCCGCGCGGCCCAGTGCCCTTGCCTAAGCGAAGAGCTCGTGTCATGCCTTAGCGGTTCCTGGGTATCCTGCCTGATGTACCGTCGCTGTATCACCTCAGCGCTTGATGGTCTTTTCAGCTTGGGCCGTTCCTCTTCGGCTGGTGGCGCGCCGGGCACCACGTTGCGGCCCCTCTCTCGGAGGGTGGCCGGTGAGCTTCAGCTGCTTGCTGTTCTGGCGCCCGTTGCGGTTTGCAACTTGTCGGCCGCGCCCTCAGAAGAGGTTTTCGCGACGGATGCGTCGATGCGTCGCGGTGCTGTCTGCGCCACGCCGGTCAGCCCCGCCACCTCACTGGGCTTGTGGCTGTCTCTCGACGTAAAGGGGGCGCCTGTCCGCCTCAGCAAGACTGGCCCTGCAGAGCCCTCTGGTGACCGCTTTGGGCCCGCTGATGCAGATGAAGGACTGCCTCCGGACCACCATGATGGTGAGCACCCGTCGGTCCAAAAGCCGATTGCTTTCCGGTTCGACTTCCTCGAGGTCGGGATTTGCTCCGGTACAGTGTCAGCCTGCCTTACCTCTAAAGGTTTTTGCGTTGGACCACTCATTGACTTTGCTCGGTCTCCCCACTACGACCTTGCATCCTCTCGGCTGCGTGAGTGGCTCCTGCACCTCATCGGGAATGGGCTTCTGAGAGCAATTATCCTCTGCCCTCCTCCCTCTTCCTTTCGACCTTCGGGCCGTCCCTTCCTCCGTTCTTGGGCGCGCCCCCTCGGCTTCGACTCTCGGCACCCCGATGTCTCGAGGCACAATGCTATCGCTGCCGTATGTTTCGCTGTGCTTTGGGGCTGTGTCAGATATCGTGTGCCAGCTGCCATTCTGCATCCGGCTTCCTCGCTCATTGCCCGACACCCTAGCTGGGTTTACCTTAGGGATAAGGTTGGGGTAATAGACTCCCATGCTAGAGACCCTTGGGGTTTTGCACGGGCCGGCTGCCGCGCTCTTGTTTCGGGCATCCCGCCGCCCTCTGGCTCTCGCTTTCTTGAGCCTCCTGGCCTTCGGCAGCCCGCTACCAAAGGCGTTTTGTGTTGCCCCCGACTCGCGTTTTCGCTCGCGGAGGGACTTGCCAGTGCTCTGGACTCCATTGGGCAGGCCAATCCTGAACCTAGCACGCCCGGCCTCGAGAACATCATTGCAAATGACCTGTTGCTCGCTGCTCAGTGGGTCGTCGTCGCAGACTGGCCCTGGAGGCATGCGTCACATATAAACGTTCTAGAGGCGAAGGCCGTGCTGAAAGCCATCCGGCTTGTCATCAAGAAAGGTGGGGATCGAAAAGTGCCCCTGCTCTTGGACTCAGCGGTGGCTAGGGGAGCGATCGCAAAGGGGAGGTCCTCCTCCCGGCTTCTCCGCCCCATCCTCCTTCAGATCTCTGCCTCGCTTGTCGCAGGGGGCGTGTATGTTGCCATGGGCCATGCTCCGACTCGCCTGAACGTTGCCGATGATCCGACTCGGAGCACACCCCTGAGAGGGGCCGCCGGGAAGCTCCTTACCGAGCTCCTGTCAGGTGCAGATTTCTTGCGTGCATGCCGTCTGTCAAGTCTTTCCAGTGCTGGGGCTGGCTGGTACCGGCTTTCCCTGCTCCTCTCCTTTAGGACCTCCGAGGCTAGGGGTTTAGGCCTTTTAAGGGTTTTGGGACAGCCTTTCAGAGCTCTTTGGCCTGCTTGCGCGGACGAGCCTGTTGCTGCAAAACGGCCTGCTCTCAACGCCAGCCGTTTGTTCGACGCTACTTTGGGCTTTCCGGGCGAGGGGCCTCTTCAGCCTCGAAACGCCAAGGATGCTCTGAGAAGGAGGGCACGCCTAGGCGAGACGCTGCCAGAGGGCCGTCCAGTCTTGCAACGGACGTCGGTCAACCGGGCCTCGCTTCTCAAGGCTTTCCAGGACTGGCTGCTGGCAGGTGGCTTAGAGGCTGAAGGCTACATGACCTGGCCCGCCGAAGAGGTCGGACGGGTGCTGTCCGTTTTCGGCCGCGAGCTCTTCGAGGCAGGCGACCCGTACTGGCACCTGGCCGAGACGATTAACGCAATCGCGTCGAAGAGGCCAGCGGTGCGGAGACAACTGCAGGCTGCTTGGGACGTTGCTTTCAGCTGGATGGCGACGGAGCCGCATTCACATCACGTCGCCATGCCTGCGGTGGTCTTGTTGGCTGTGCTTGCCGTCAGCCTCCTGTGGGGATGGAAGGCCGAGGCTGGCATTTTTGGTTTGGCCTGGGGCGCTCTCTTGCGCATTGGTGAAGCTGTTGGTGCCAGGAGAGAGTGCCTTGTTTTACCGCGCGACGTCCTCGGGTCCCAGACCTACGTCCTGCTGAAGATCGAGGAACCAAAGACGCGCTACAAGGCCGCTCGCCAACAAGCTGGGAAGCTTGAACAGGCCGACCTGGTTGAGCTTGTCGACCTTGCCTTTGCCAAGCTCCCGCCTTACAGCAGGCTGTGGCCAATGACAGCGCAGACCCTAAGGAGACGCCTCGATACGGTGCTGGAAGCTTTAATGATCCCCACCGCCCGTGGTACCACCAGGCCGCTCGACCTCGGGTCGTTCAGGCCTGGCGGTGCTACGCACATGCTTCAGATTACGGAGGATTCTGAACTGGTCAGGCGGCGAGGCCGTTGGGTATCGCCAAAGGTCATGGAGATCTACCTGCAGGAGATCGCGTCCCAGACGTTCTTTCCTGCTCTTCCGCTTGCTACACGGAACAAGGTCATGCAGGCAGCGGCGTGTTTCCCTGAACTGTTGAGGCAAGCGCGCCAGTGGACTCAGAGTGGTGTTCCCGCTGGCTCTTGGTTTTACCTCTGGAGCTTTCAAAGCGTCGCCACGGGCAAAGGCGACTAGGGTCGATGTGGGCGGAGTGGGAAGTTCTTTAAAGGCACCCGGGTCTCGCCATCATGAACTTTCGATGGCTCCCGATTTCTCGCTGGATGTTCTCTTTCCCAGCCCTTTCGTTACAGAGGTGCCCGTGGACCTTCTCCGAGCTGCAGACAAAGAGAGCGTGAGGTTCTGACTCTTAGAACCGAATGTGAAACGTCGGCGATGCTCTCTCAAGCTTCTCCCGCCCGCCCGGCCCGGCTTGAGGGCTGCTGGGAAGTTCTTTAAAGGCACCCGGGTCTCGCCATCATGAACTTTCGATGGCTCCCGATTTCTCGCTGGATGTTCTCTTTCCCAGCCCTTTCGTTACAGAGGTGCCCGTGGACCTTCTCCGAGCTGCAGACAAAGAGAGCGTGAGGTTCTGTTTAATTACGTATGTAAACACCTTCATAAGTGCAGCTTGCGGACCGGTGTGCCGTGTTCCACACATGAGCAGAAGCGGACGGTGAACATATGAAGCCCTTAGTCTCTCTCTCTCTCTCTTGACTGGCCTTCCCTATGTGCTTGTTTTATACTTTGTACATCTCTACATAAGTCCATACAAGATTACGCACATACATACATACATACATGCGTACCTACATACATGCATACATTCATACAGGCATACATGCATGCATACACCACATGCGTATGAGTTTGCACCATATTGTGCATGATATGTGCCACGATTTCGGTTGGGCCAACATGGAAGCATATATCGGTGCTGCAGCACCGGCCAGGCATTTCATATGTGTAGGCTCTTGCGATGAGTGGAAGCTCCGAGAATGCTTTGAAGTTTCCTGATTGAGGTGGATACAAATTGGCGACTTCCGATTTGGAGATGCAAACGGCAACTTTGCATTTCTCCACACCAGCAATGTCACTCTGGAAGTGTACACGTTCCTGGACCTTTCTGGACGACCCCGTTAGCTTTTGAACTTGTAACAAAGCTGCGAGTCCTGCGCAGACAGATATTGTCTTTAGTATGCTTGGACTAAGGAGTGCAGGTGACTTCATAGAGGCAGATGATCGTGGAGCAATAGGAGCCAGCCTGCTTAGTTTACCTCCGGCCAGTTGGACGTGCCCGAGCATCGGAGATATCGGCCACGGTAAGTGCACCCGGGCCATGATGGAATGAAGCTTTGTACCTGTTGAAAGCAGTCCGGCGTCAACGTAAGCATTCCCTGTCCGAAAACCTACATGCTCAGTCCTACAACGCCAGGCAGCGAGGACTTCGGAGGGTGGGGGGATCGCTTCGTCCAGCTGGGAGACTGGCGTCTGGCAGCTATCGATGAAGACAACTTCGCTTTTGTGCACAAGAACGGCGAGAATTCCGAGGTCTGGGCAAAGGGCCAGGTAAACGGTGTGTTGCCTTCTGCAGGCATGCACTTGCTTGATCCGACGAATGTCGTTCGGCAGATAGATAGCACGTGAAGTATGACTACAGCCATGATGCTTGCTTGTATGTATGTATGGATGGATGGATGTATGTATGTACATGCATACGCATGTTCCTTTCTTTTATGCTTTTGTTGGTGTTTGTTTGTTTGTCTGTCTGTGTGTTTGTTTGTTTGTTTGTTTTTTTTGTTTTTATGTTTTTTGTATGTCTGTCTGTTTGTTGTACATATGCGTTCATGTATGCCTGCTTGCATGTTCGTACATAGATAGGCACATAATATGCATGCACGAATGTTCGTAATGTGCGTAAGCAAGTAAGTAAGCAAGCAAGCAAGTGCATGTATGCATGATGCATGTATGGTCCCGCGGCAGTGCCAAGCCAGACCTCTCATCGGAGCAAACAATCACGGGAATGGTAGCTGTGGGATGATGCTGAGGACAATGACGCTGACGTGCTTCTTGCATGCCGGTATTCCGATTGTGACTGTTGGCAATACCACTGCTCTTAGGCTTTTCTTGTCCTAGGTACAGCATGTTGTTTGCATCTGTTTGTTTGAAACTCTCGTTTGGCTCGAAGCCTTTGTTGTTCCGCAGTTTGTATCTATTGTCGTCATTCTGTGCTAGGTTGGGATCTTGAAAAGTAAGCCTGAGCATGTGTTTGCATGATGTTCATTCGGGACTCTTGAGCAAGGGATCGGAGCAGAGTGGGGACGGGGATGATGATCGACATGTTCCGTCATCACCATCAATTGGGGGAGGGTGTGAGCATGCATAACGTGACGTGCGTGCGTCCTTCTTCCCTATTCCGCTGCGCGAGGCACACGCATCATGTATAGCTGAGCAAAGAGATATGGCAGGATTAACAGGTTGATTGACACAGGTCTAGAAGCCCAAAATCGTGAGTCCTTCGCGTGCCCAGCGTTTTTTTGATACGTCTGCAACTACTGTACAGGCGTTTTTTGTGCATGCATGCAGGTAGCTTTGAATAAATGTCGTTCGTTATCCGAATTTGTCTTGATATTTGCGTGCATATATATATATATATATTTATATGTATCTAAATCTATATCTGTATCTATATATATATATATATATCTATGTACATATGTACACTTATATATATATATATATATATATGCATATATATATATGTATATACAGATACCCATGTATATATATATATATATATATACATATATATATGTGTATATCTCTCTATGTCTATATATATATATATATGCCCAGTATATATATATATATATACATGTACATACATATGCATATGTAAACTTTCATCTTCATCCATGTTTGTGCATCATTTCAGATGCATGCTTCTTTTCGTGTGCGAACCAAAAGTTGCCCCCCCCCCCACACACACACACACACACACACACACACGCATCAAAACGATAGTAGATGGATGTACTCAGAGGCTTGTTGTATTTGCGCTTGCGATGTATGGTGTATGTACATCGCAAGTGCTCTGGCATGTACCCACACCGACCTATGTATGTCTGCGTAGAGACACGGTTCTTGCGGACCTCAACGCACATTGCATGCGCCACATGATGCTTGTTGCGCTGAGATCTTCAAGAGCGACGGCACCCGCGTGCAGGGACGATTCAGTGACCGCGTCTGGCGGAGGCGGGGGTAGTGGGTCATGTTTGTTGTCACATGCAGGCTGCATGTCACAAGCCAGCAGAACAGTCGCGTGCTGTCGTGTATGCATCGACTATGTGTATCTTTACATGTCGCTGTTTACACTATATGGTTACTGTGCGTGTATGCGTGTTTGTTCGACCACCCCTCGCCCCAATGCCCCGCCTCTCTGAGCCAGTGCCCCCGGCTTAGTCGAGGGAAGAGCTTTGTTCCTGCGGTGTGGGCTGTCTTGCCAAGTGTCCAATTCCAACCCAAGTCCCCCGGCTTGGGGGGGTGGGTTCGCCCGCCCCTAATCCCCGGCTCGGATCGAAGCTCCCGGAACTCTGCACCGGAGTCCCGATGACGTATGCGGAGGGGCAAAGAAGGCGAGAGGGACCGTCTCCGTGGGCCGGAGAGCACCCCAGGTCGACGCTCACTCACTCACTCTCTCACTTTACACTACATGTCTGATGTGTTCGCTTTCTTCGGTCACACAGAATGTACTAAGATATCATGACTAGACAGTTCTCTTTTTCCGCTTTATACTAAAACGCACGGTTTTATGTGTAAGACGAGGATGGTACGTATATTGTATAGCAGTGCAACCGAGACAAAAAAACACCATCCACTTGCATGGCTTCTGCCAGACTGAACGTGTCGAATTCAGATCTAGAGTGGTGTGACAGCCAATACTCGAAAACAACACGTTGGTGTAATTGCAACGTATTTCGTTAGAAGAACAAAATTAAGCATGTTGAAACACCAGACTGCATTTATGTGACGTTTCTTGTTTTTCGCAGCGACGACGATTACAGCACCAAACAACCAAGTCGTGTTATCATACGGTCATCGTGTGGAGCAGTCGGTGGCTGGTGTTTTTCATGCCGAAGGAGTCGCCATAATTTCGACGTGGCTTTTGCTGTTTGTACTTTGCGACTTGAGCTTGTCGAAGGCCCCTCGGCTTTCCCTACGGTATCACCTTCGGGCAAAACTTCATCCAGATCGGCAGCTTCCGCTTGGCAGCGTTTGACTGGAATCACCTGTCAATCTCTCACCAGAACCTGGGCGCGTAGGGTTGAAAGCTCTGGGGTTTAGGGCTTAGACTCTGGGTTTAGAGTCTTTAGAGTTTTGCGGAGTTTCGGTTTTAAGGCTTTGGGGTTTAGGGAATCTGTGGTTTAGCGTTTGGGGTTTCGGGTTTGGAGTTTGGGGTCTAAGGTTTAGAGCTTTTCGGCTTAAGGGCTTAAAGATTTGACAGAAAGGGGCTTCAGGGGGTAAGTTCTAGGGCCTTAGAGTTTCTTGTTCAAGCTGGGCGTTGCCCGGATATAGGTTTCGGAACCCATGGGAGCAACTAGTGCTCGGCCAAGGAGTCACCAGACACCGCAGACCTGGCGTGGACATGATGCGAGCTTGTGGCCTAAGCTTAACAGTATCTGGAATGCTTGGCAAGGCCGCGACGCCATCACCGCTGGCCCTCCTGCAGGCGTCGGGCACCTTGGATTTGTGCTGGGACATTTTCAACTTTATGAAAGACTGCCAGTAGCGAATATAAATATGTGCAAGCAAGAATGTGCCACGAGCACAGTTGCAGCTTCTGTATAGTCCCCTATCAGTGATCCAGGTACGGGGACAGGTACTTGCAACTTGGCAGGTTCCGCATCGGAGTGGCGGACTCTACAAACAATTGGCTGTTCGTGACCCACACTGACGACGGCGGTGACGGGAGGGTCATTCAGGTCGCTAGGTCCCAGTTTCGAAGTGACTTTTCTGGTTTATCAGACTGTCAGCTATCATTGTATCTGTGTACACAAGCAGGCCGTGCCCTTGAACATGAAATTTTGCTGCCTTCGGACTGCTCGCAGTCCGGAGCCCTACATGCTTCAACTTGAATGCAAGCCGAGTCTCAGGCCTGGAAATCAGATGGCACCGTGCATGACGGCCGGCGCCGTCGCCAGTGGACGCACGAAATGAACCATCGCATCACACAGTGGCACTGTGGCAACATCCAGAAGCTTGGCTTTGGAAAAGGGTACCGAATTTACAGAAAAACTCCATAGAAGGCTTGGTAAGATTTCGTGTTTTTGGTTTCGAAGACCTCCAAGCTCAGAGTAGAAACATGAACTCCGGAACCTGAAAGCCGAAACTTCAAGACTCAACGGAGAGACCCCCAAACCCAAAGCTCCTGAAGACGTAGCCCTAAACCCTAAACCCCTAAACCCCTAAACCCTGAACCCTAAACCCTAAACCCTAAACCCTAAACCCTAGCCCTAAACCCTAAACCCCTCACTCAAAACCCTCAGACCCTTGATTCCTCCCCAAGGGCCAAGCTCGGCACCTGCAGTGGGATCACGACAGGAGAGGAGTCGCAAATGTCTGAAGCACGGTTGATTATATAAATCCTAGATTACCTTAGTGACCCTAGACTACAGGAGTTATGGTATATTCCTTACTATGAGTAATGCAGGATTTGTATTTCATCAACTGGTTGATGAAAGACATCCCGCATTACCCATCATAAGGTATGTACCATAACTCCTGAAGTCTAGGGTCATTATGGGTCATTAAGGTAATGTAGGATCTTTATCATCAGCCGTAGGAGACCTTATAGAAGTGTTTCGTCTCGGTGTTCAGGCTTCAGGGTCGAGATGTCTCGGGGTTTTCGGTTTCAGGTTTCACGGTTCTTACCTTTGGTTAGTAGGGAATGGAAGAATGGTAGTAATAGTAGTTGTGGGTTTAGGGTTTAGGGTTTAGGGAAGAATGGTAGCAATAGTAGTTATCTCCATTCCCTACTAACCACAAATAAGAGTTTGGGTTACTGATCCACAGGTCCTGGCTTCATCCAATTCGGGGACTGGAGAATGGCGGCCGTTGACAAGTACCACTTCTCCATCTCGCACCGCTCCAGATTGTCCTCCGTGACCCTCCGGCCGTGTAGAATTGCAGGGGTTTCGGGATTCCGGGATGAGTCGAGGCTGTGCGGGATCACGGGTTCCAGGAAATTCCTGCAAGTTGTAGCTACGAAAAGCGCCTAACGCACGCATCGCTTCGGTTGCAGTGGCTTCCTCCGAGAGCACGGTGCCTGTGAGATGCCCCGTCAGGATTTTCAGGGGGTCGGATGGGACGGTCCACGATGGACCCTTCCCTCACAACCCCCCTTCGAAAAATGGTTGGGACAATCGCGAGTCCGGGTATGTGCCTGCGGGGGACCTGCAGGAAGTGAAGATCGGAAATCGTTTCATCGAGTTCGGCAAGTTTTGGCGGGTGGGCGAATTTAACGCTATGCTTTCCATCTCTCATTCCAGTGGCCAGACACCGCTGGTCTTCCAGGAAGATGGTACCTTGGTGCCAGGGCCCAGCACGGATAACAACCTTTTCATTCGTCGTGGGGAGCCCAAGGGCGTCACCTTCGGTGATCGCTTTGTGCAAATCGGCAACTTCCGACTTGGAGACGTGGACGGGTGGCACTTCTCGATCTCGCATGTGGAGAATGGCGCGCTGCTCGATCTTTACACAGGAGATGGTCTTCGCCCTGGTGGCGATGGACGTGAGATGTACATGACGACGGTTGGTCGTCCGCTGCAGAGCTGCAAGGTTTTACCCGAAAAGCCTCGCCTGTTCAGCTTCGATACCTTGTATGCGCTCTACCACCCGGTGTACAAGCGCTACCTGAGTTTGCACCCTTGTTGCAATGAGCAGACAATGACCTAGCCTGACCATATAGCCCACACAGCTAGAAGTATGTTAGGCAGCCTGCAGCTGCGCCAGGAGTTCGGCGGCAGACATGACATCCGTGGCGGTCTCCAGTGGACCGAGCGACTTGCCTTACGATCGGGCCCACGAGCGCTTCGCGGTCGTTGACGCCGGCAACGGCCTCTTTGGGCTGCACAATGCCAAGAACAACAGGTTCATGATGCTGGAAGGAGTGGAGATGATGGCCTCTCCACTTCGAGCTGCTGCGTTTGGGGTGAAGGAAAACTGGGTGAGCGTGAAATTTGAGATCGTCGATGCAGGTGATGGTATGGTGGGACTTTACAGCCCCTTCCACAAGCGTCTCGCACAAATGCGCTCCGACGGCACGGTTCGAGCCACGAACGGACAGATTTTTGATGCCCAGGACCTGTCACAAAACCCGACTTGGACAGGGGAGCGCTTCTACATGGTGCCAGTGAAGAATTACCTTCAGCCTGCCACCATGGTGGGCCTGTGCCTTGGGTGACTTCTTTCAGAGTTTGGGTGCGTTAGTGTTGGTGTTGCAGTTGTGCCGTGGAGAGAGCGCTCCGCAGCATGCTCGACACAGCCGAGGTGGAACCCAACTGAGCGGCGTTTCCTCCAGATGGACGGCGGAGTTCGCATGGAAGGCACCGGTCAACTTGACGCCAATTACCTCCAAGACAGCCATACCTGGGAGCGGTTCCGGGTGGTTGATGCCGGCAACGGGATGGTTGCGCTGCACAACTACCATTGGAATAGGTATGTCAGGATGATATGGAATGGGCAGCAGCATGCGATGACTGTAAGCTCGGTGTCTCCTTCCGACGCTCGCATTTGCACAGGGGCATCACCGTTTTTGCCTCTTCATTCTTGTCAATACTCGCATTGCGCATATGCATATAGAATAGTATGCATGTATGCATGTATGCATGGATGCAGGGATGGATGTATGTATGGATGTATGGATGTATGGAGGTAGTGATGTAGTGATGTTTGGATGTATGGAAGGATGTATGGATGTATGTATGTATGCATGCCTGCATGCATGCATACCTGTATGCATGCATGTATGAGTTTACTGTAGGTAGTTTTTTAGGTAGGCAGGTTTGTAGGTTTGTGATTAGGGAGGTCTGTAGGCAGGTGGGCAGGAAGCCAGGAAGGCAGGCAGGTAGGCGGGTGGGCGGGTCGGCAGCAGGCAGCGGGGAGGCAGGTACGCAGTAGGCAGGCAAGTAGGCACGTAAGGTTCCCCTAGTTGTTTGTTGTTTTTGACGTTTAATTCTGATTGTGGGACGACTTGACTAGAATCCACACTGGTGCCCATGTTATCCGGTGTATCTGCGGGTGTTTGCCTATGTTCTGCCCGGACCCAGACCAGTGTCGAGCTCCCCGACGGTTGGGCTGACACAGTGGCCTTCGTCCCGGTGCCGATCAACACGGGCAGCAATGAGATCGCCTTGTGGCATCCCGGTCATAGTCGCCTCTTGTCCGAGTATGCATCGAAAGGGCAACTCCTCCAAGGAGACTTGAGGAATGTTTTACTACAACCACGACCACCACCATTACGCTTACCACTGCCACACTACATACCATCACCACCAACACTACTGCTACCGCCGCCACCACCACCACCACCACCACCAGCTAGTTTAACTTATTTCAACCACGGGCCGATTTGAATAGATAGAATTCGTCTGAGTTCTATTAATTATTTAAACCATTTATATTCCCGGACCGGTTTGAATAGTTTATATGGTTTCAGTAGTAACATTCAGCTGAGTTCAATTTTTTGAAATAAGTAAACTACATAAACTAGTTGAATTCAAAGGCTAAGAGGAGCCGGAGAGATTCCACCCGATTTAAGCTGCTTGTAATGTTGTAGGCAATTAAAGCAAGTGATGTTTGTGATTCAGTCTTTTGAAATCCACAGGGCGGTTTAGATCATTGAAACAGTTTAACTGTAGAATTCATTTGATTTCTATTGTTTAGAACATTTAAATCTCCGGGCCGACGTGAATAGTCTAATCAGTTCATCTAACAGAAATCAGCAGAGAGGCCGGGGTGATTCCACCCGATTTCAATCAACTTAAACATGTTAAACATTCCAGCTAGCTTAAATAATCGATTTTAAGTCATTCTAACCTTGTACCCAATTTATTTGCTGTAAAGAACAGAATACAAGCGGTCTCTATGATTCAAAATGTTTAAATACCCAAGAACATTTGGATAACTTAAATACTTTACTTAATCAGCTGCGGCGCCGGCGAGATTCCACCCGATTTCAAGTACTTGACACTTTTTAAACACTTCAAGTGGTTTAAATAGTAGAATGTGTTCATTTTAAGATTTGTGCACAACTTGTCTACTTTCACGAACAGAATTCAAGTGGTTTTATCATTCAAAGTGTTTAGATTCCCGAGGGCAGATTTACATAGTTTAATACTTTCGCCACTAGAACTCACTTGAGTTCGTTTACATTGTTTAAACGAATTAGTTTGATTAAACGGATTAAGTTCCTTCGGAATCTAGAACCAAAGCCTAAGAGGAGCCGGAGAGATTCCAGCCGATTCAAATTGGCTTAAAATATTGAAACGACTTAATTGATTTGAAAGTGGAACTCAAGTGATTTCTATTTTTTACAATATTTAAATCATTGGGCCGGTTTCAATAGAATTCAAATGGGTTCCACTGTTTGAATAATTTTCACACCCAGGCCGATTTTAGATATTAAATAGTCTAATTAGTTGAAATCATGTGAGTTTTTTTTTAACCGAACCCCTCCTAATCCAGCACCGAAGGCTAAGAGTTGCCCGAAAATCGCGCCGAACATGTTTTAATCTGGCTTCCAAGTGGCTAAACTCGGTTTTGGAACGGATGGTTCTCAAATTTTGATCGACTTGAGCCTGCAGTAATGCGCCGACATCTGTCTGAGAGACAAGTCGTTTACTGGCTTTTCGTACATTCTTGAATGGTTTTCAAGACCTACAATTTGGGGATATGATCCATTGGCAGGACACCATAGCACATGTTGTGATACAGCACGTCTCTCCTATCTTTATGTCCATACTCTTTGGGGTCTTGGCCGGCATTAAAAAAATGTTAAATCCGTGGGCCAGTTTAACTAATTCAATCAACTCAGTTAGCAAAATCCGCTGAATTCTTTTTGCCCTTTGTTGACATATTCAAACGATTGCAGCTTCATTGGTTGAATGTCCCTAAAGGCTTTTCTTTCATTTATATGTATACACGCTAAAAATTGTTCGTTGGTTTTTGTATATAGTTCGGAATTTTGTTATGTATGTATATATATATATAGAGTATATGCATATGCATACGTATAAGTATATGTATACGTATATGTATATGTATATGTTTATGTAGATACATACAAATATGTACATATACATACACATACATTTGTATTCATATTTATGTTGCTATGTGTTTTCATATTGTTAACTATACTGATATCTTTATGTACAAGATGCTTCATTGCATCATCGTACTTCATACTACATTATATGCGGTTGTTTTATATTGCGTTATGTTAGAATACATCATACCATGTCAAGCTAAACTGGTTACTATGGCAGTGTACAGTGTAGTATAGTTATGTTTTTTCGTCTCATAGCGAAACATTTCATGGCATAACATGCTTTCTGACCAAAAACGTTGTTATGATATGCTATCAGATGGCCAACTACGTTGTATTTGTGCTTCATAATATTATTATACATGTAAGTATATATGTATACATACATCGTACCTTGTTCGGCTACGGTACAATATATCATATTACACCATTTTCTGATGTAAAACATCAGGTCATGACACATTATATTAAAAGTATAATATTCATGTCATATTCTATCATTGTTGGTTTTATGTTCTTCCATGCTGTGTTATGTAATGTAATGTTATGTCGTGTTATAGTATCTTGTATTACGTCATGTTATTTAAGGTTTTGCTATATCTGTTGTGTATTTCAGTATAATCCAAAATGCCATATCATGTTTTACGGTATTGTTTTCCACTCACGCAAGCTCGCTTCGATGTTTGCTTTTACAGTTACGTTCAAACTTAAGCCCACAAACATATATACATATATATATATATATATTTACAGAAAGCGTCACCCTCAGGGCCCGGTTTTGTCGTATTCGTACAGGAGAGAATTTTAAGTGTTTTCTTAAATTATCGCTTATCGCAACTAAAATGTATATACACATCAATTAGGTTTTAATTTACATGTATACTTGCGTTTGTACTTGTAGTATTTCTGTCTCTAGTAAATTGCATTATGCAATATAATGCGTTTAATAACCCATTTGTATTATATTTGGTTGATGTTTGTTGGATGTTCATGTTTGTAGCTTTATTAATGTACACTTGTGTGTGTATGTATAATTGTACTTATCTCTGTATAATATAAGAGACGTTAGATTATGTTATGTCATGCCATAGTTTGTTGTAGTATGTTCTTTCTCTTCGTTTTGTAACGTGCTATGTTGTGTCATACAATGCGCCTTGCATCTGTTCATGTATTTTTACGTTCGTACTTATCTCCACCATATCATACCAGATTATACTGCATGCTACTTTATTATGAAATAGTGTATTATACTACTGTCACTGAGGACTAATACCACTTCGTCATGAGTCCAGAGCCATGCACCCTAAACCCTAAACCCGAATCCTAGACTCTAAACCCCAAACCCTAAACCCTAAACCGTGGCTCTAAACCCCAAGCCCGAATCGGAAAACCCCGAACCCTACGAATTCAGAGCCCTCCAGACTGCCCAGGGGCTATGCAGATGCAGGGTCACATCGTGTCTCCCAGCGGAAGGTGCCAAGCGCAGGACTGTTTGGGGTGATATAGGGGCTTAAACAATTTCCTAACCATTTTGGGGATTCCTTATTATAATGATAGTACAATGGGCCCCAAAACCCTATTCTAAGTATTAAGGTTAATATATTATACGGAGCCCAGGGTGGAACAGGACGGGAGGAGGATTGATAGCAAACTCTGGGAGCCTTAAGGCTACGTAAGACCACTGGGAGCGTGTTTATTTATGTGTTGTTTTTGAGGGTTTAGGGTTTAGGGCTTAGGGTTTTTATTTGAAGTCCTGCGTGTCTGCAAGAGGAAAGGTTTCCGAAATTGCGTACTGTCAGAGATGCTGTGCTATCGAGGGGTCGCTCGCAGAAAGACATTTGCCCGCAGCTTGTGGGCATGTGTCGGCCGTAGATGCCGGTTTATTTCTGTCATGGAGCATTGCAAAGCCTTCGGTTCAGTAGGGGCTCCGACGAGAAGCCCAAAAAAAAGTCGGACAAAAGTTTCGTCTGGTGCTCGCAAGTAGCTTACGCCTGCAGCCCGAAGCCGCTCAGGCAGTCCAAATCAAAGCCGTACTGTGGCCTTGAAGCCTAAGCGAGCGCCGGATGTGCCAGGATTTGAACAGTGGCTGGGCTGCGGCCACCTTCAGGGTGGTTCTGCTCAACGATCCCACGCTCATCTGAAGTCGACGGTGGGGTGCATCAGCGATGCCACGTCGGGAGACGGGAAGAATCTTGGCGGCTGCGTATCTAGGGGCACCTGCAATCTTCACTGGCAGATTAAGAATACATGTTGAGGAGGTCAGAGGAATTGCTATTGTTGCAATTCATGTTCTGGTTTTTCTTCTCATTTGCCTTTTAAATCACTTTTTATCATGATGTTTGCTGGGGTTTCTATCACCAGTATGACGGCCCTGAAGATATCCGCCGCATTAGGTTCTTCTCTTGCTGGCAGCATGGAGGTTTGCAAGACGCACAGCCGAGACAGCAGACAGCAGCATCTCGGAGGGCAGGCATGAATTGGCGCGTCGGTGACTATTGTGCGGCGTGAGCTCGCTTGCAGTTTTATGAGCTGTTCGTCAGACTGGCACTTGTGGAAAAGGTGGACGAATGAGCTCGTGTTCAGGGTGCTACAATGCCACGACTAGTCTTCTTGATCCCGCTGGTCTTGTTCTGACTGCTCGCATGAGTCGGCGCTTCACACGAGAGCTTATCCAGGTATCTGTGATGCCGTTGATGCTTGAGGCCCCATGTGTCATCGTCACATTCAAAACGGGAGTTGTCTGTGGATTGAGCAAAGGTGTGCAGTAGAATCCCACGAGCCGGACCCTGGGGCAAGCCTCCGTGGTTCCAGCGCGAATGTTTTTTTCGCAGCTCTGTTTCTTCGTCTGAGCTTATTGTCCCGGCGTCCCGATTATCAATCGGATTGCTGGTAGAATGTGGGAGTTTCCGAAAATAGGGGGCGAAGGGTTGGCGGTGTCGTTGTGGGCTTACACTGAAAATGCATGCGAGGGAGGCGAGTTGGGTTCGGTGTGCCAGGAGCTGTAAAGCTCATCGTTAGTAGCAACCTTTCAGTATCAGCTTCGCTGTGTATTCCGTCAAACAAAAAACCGAAAATAGGGGACCCTAATATAGTACCCTAAATAGTAGGATCCTTATTATAAGAGCCCCAAAATAAGGTACCCCTAATTTTCGGAAACTCCCATGTCTGTTCGCCCAGGACGGGAGGCTACAGCCCTGAGCCTTCAGCCCCACATCCCAAGCCCTTCACCCTGCAAGGCCTCTAACGCTAAACACCAGATCCCCAAACCCTAAACCCTAAACCCCTAAACCCTAAACCCTAAACCCCTAAACCCTAAACCCTAAACCCTAAACCCCTAAACCCTAAACCCTAAACCCTAAACCCTAAACCCTATCCTGAAGGGTGCCTTGTCAACCCCTACTCCCCTAAGCCCTCAGGCCCTAAAACTCTAAACCCTACTTTGACGTGCAACCGTCACCCTTTCCGGCTTCAAAGCCCGAGGTAGGCGTTGTGCACCTACCAGTCACATGGGCCAAGGCTGGGAGACAGGGTTGGGCACGAGAGATTTTTGAAGATAGGTTTGTGGAATTTGGGGTTTAGGGTTTAGGCTTTCCAGTCGTAAGCTCAAGCAGTTAGGTTTGGGAAGACTTGAGACATAGGCGGCTTCCCAAGTGTGAGTCTCAACGACAAAATTTGTTGGGGCCCGTGCAAGCGCTTTGCTAGCGTTGCGCCAACTAGCCTCGGCGCCGGCTTTAAAGGGGTGTAAGGTTTAGGGTTTAGGGGGTTTAGGGTTTAGGGTTTAGGGGTTTAGGGTTTAGGGGTTTAGGGGGTTTAGGGTTTAGGGTTTAGGGGGTTTAGGGTTTAGGGGTTTAGGGTTTAGGGTTCAGGGGAATGAGGTCGCTTGGCTGCAGAAGTCCGAGTTGCGAGTAGAGAGCCAACGCTTCTGGACTTTAGCGACAATGAAGCATGTCAGTGACATGAATGACGGCCCCGATGTAGAAACGAAATGGCAGTGATGACGAACATGCCAACAAGGACATCCATTGTGGCGACAGAAAGCTGATCAGGGTCATGTGTTTCGTGACGGCGATGATGTTGCTGATGCTCGTGTGGACGATGCAGCTTACGATGTTGCGTCTTCTGTTGATGACGACACAGCGGCCGATTCGGCAGCAACATTTTTAGAGATCCGGACACCAGTTCGTGAATGAACAGAACCCTAGGTGCTGATGATGCGAACGCCCAGCGAAGAGACGCTCAAATAATGCACAAAGACACCTTAAAGACAACAGTCAGTCGACATAACGAGAAAGGCAAGATGGCGCTCATATCGGGGAGCGTCGAAGCAACAGGAGTAGTAGTACCTGTAACTATCGAGCATCTCTTCAAGATGTTCTCGACGACCAAAACGTTTAGGTTGTCACAAACTTCTGCGAAGGCGGTATCAACATCATCACGAACATCTGCATTTCTCGAGCAATTCCGGTAGCAACAATAGTGAGCGGTTGGAGATGGCATATGAACTGATTGATGCGGATAGTCGGTTAATTTCATTTGCTCACAACTCCTACAAAAGCTATGCACAAGCATCCGTTGTCAGGATGTACATGGTTCTGGAACAACGCAACAAGAAGACGGTAGCAGAATCATGATGGTCAGGTTGAGCCATGGAACAGATTCCAAATGTGGAATGAGTGGTGGAGATACACAAGACTAAGCCCGCAGTCGCGGCTTGCGCGAGTAGGCGTGAGCTCTGTTTGGCAGTTTTAGCGATACCTTGCTTGTGCGAATTCCCATACGTAAATCCAGCAACCAAACGAATGACATTCTATTGTTAAGCTTCTGCTTTCAAAACAGGAGCGATGTTTGCAGTTGCAGAATTCGCTTGTCTTTTTCACTCACTGAGGGGATGGTGCGCGCTGCAACGTCAATGTCGTTACAGTATGACTCGTGAGTTGGCTTGAAGAGGGCGGTTTTACAATTGAGCATGGCCTTGGACATCTTATTGTAGATCTGCTCCGTTCCCATGCAGAGGAACCATCTGCAACAGTTTTTTGGTAGGGTGGGGCAGAAGTCGAGCGGAAAGGCTAAGGATCGCATAAGAAGCAGTGGCCACGAGAAGACAACCGGGAATTTGGATCCTAGCTTCTGTGCAGACAGCAGAACTGTGTATCCGACATGCCGAATTTTTTCAACTGGGAGTCAGGGCGGGATGATTCCCGTGTCAGGTGCACCTGCACGACCACACCGTGCTGCAGGCATCATCCAAACTGGCTTTTGGAGCTTGTTGGTGTGATAGCACCTTTACGAGCATTTCGAAGGGTTCATGGGGCTTTGGCGTGTTTTGGTTCAGGGAATTCGGAGATTGCACCAGTTTTTCGTTCTCATCTTCCGTTGGATAGGGCGGGAATATGGTAAGTTTCGAAGGGTCGTCATGCTCCGAAGCTTCCCAGCCTCGCCCAGAATATGGGACGATGGATTTTGAGCTTTGCGGAGGGGCAGGTTTGGGGGATCCCTCCCTGCTTCCTCGATGCTTTGGGGCGCACTTCGCAGCCTGCGCGGCTACTATAGGGGCCTGCCAGTACTATATTTGGGTGTTCCTAAGTATACTTGTAGCCCTGTCGGAGTCATTGCCCATGCATGTGAAACCGTGACTGAACTCAACACTTGGACTGGGCATCGTCCTAAGCCCTAAACCCGCCTAAACCCTAGACCATGTGGCCACGGCACTAAACCGGACCGTTTTAGTATTCCTTAAGCAAGCTTATAGCCTTATAGTTACGTTACAGAAACACCCTTATAGCGACCTTTTGCCCAAAACTGTGCAGGTGTCTGTTGGCACATTGGTCGGGATGCTGCTGGGTGGCGTCTTCTTCCTTGCGCTGAGGAGGCGACCAGCTTGCTTTCGTTCGGGGTTTTGATTGGGCGTGATTAAAGAGGTGTAGGGTTCGCGGCTTAAAGTAGTGGCAGTGAGTTAGGGTTTATAGTGGGCATAGGATATTGATTTTAAGCTTTGGGTGTGACTACTAGTAGGGCTTTAGATTTGTTCATTCGGTGGTGAGGTTTCAGATTTATGGAGCGAAGCACGCTTGGTGGGGTACTGGTACACGCTTAATCGGAGGACCAGGATAGCGTGTGCCAGTACCTATGGTGAGCGGCGGAAGTCACGATGAAAAGCAATAGCCATCCTACGAAGAGCAGCGGGAATAAAGGACTGCAGCACAATCGGCACCAGGTAGGTTGAACGTGAGGATGGACGACGTCCGGTATGAGCAAAGTCAAGGGCTGAAGTGAATCCCTAAACCCGAAGCCCTAAACAGCAAAACTGCCAGCTTGAGGTGGTATCGCCACGCTGGCAGTGAATTCTGCAAAGCCTGGGGCTTGATCGACAACTACGGAGACGAGGCCGGTGGTTCCACCAGTCGTAATCACAGAGTCGTCATTGTCATCCTTATCTTCTTCTTCCTCATCATCACTCTTATCATCACCATCAACATGATCAACACCACCACCGTCACCACCAGCATCATGACGATCATCAGCGGCCGCAAGACTTTGGATCAGACAATTCAGGGAGCCCTGCGGCCCCTGACCCTTCCTGAAGCCAAAAGTCTGATGTCCTTAGCCCTCGACTCAAACTGGGTTCTTGTTAAGGAGTTCAAGGTTAAGTTACCATAATAGGGATCCATAAGGGCTCCTTTAAGGGATCCATAAGGGTTCGTTCAAGGGTTTGGGGTTTAAGGTTTAAGTTACCAGAACCGGGATCTATGGTAAAGAATATGGTTTCCTTATTACGGTAACTTGAACTAAACCCTTTAACAAAAACACAGCAAATCCTTACGCTAGACCCTAAACCCTAACTACATAATAGCCAATAATATTCCCCATAATCCATTCCCCCATTCCCTGCTAAGAACCAGACAGAAGTCTCCTCGACTTCACGAGGAGCTCCTTGCCGCCCAGACCGACGGCTACCAGCAAGCACCGTAAAAGAGCGGAGGGTTTGGGGTTTTAGGGTTTGGGGTTTAGGGTTTAGGGGGATCAAGGCCTAAGTGCAAAGGCTTCGAATAAACATTGCAGAAGCCGGTTGAGCTCAATTCCTGTAGGAGTATAAGATGTACAGTGGCGGCTACTGGTTCCCGAAGGGGTGGTTGGCATCTCTGTTCGGGTGGTACGTAGAAGATGGCTGAGAAGCTAGGGCCGAAACAAGTGGAGCGAAGCTTTGGGTTCCATGGATGCAACGGAGAGCGAGGCAGAAGCATGATCGTAAGCACCTCTAGGCTGGTAAGTTTCTAGGATTCTGAAGGTGAGAGGTCTCTTGCCCCGTGACGTGCTCCTGCTTTGTGCAGTCACCTGTGGCCACTTCAGTCCGTAGTGCTTGGCTGACAATCCTGCGCCCCTGAAGTGATCGCCGTGGGACATTCGGGCTCAAGAGTTTGGAGTTCACAATCCTGTGCGGTACGAGCGCTCTGTGATCTGTATGAAGCTCTCATTCCTCGAATCATAGAAGCCAGCATGCAGCCCTGAAGAAAGCATTGCCGACAGGTTCCTGAAATGCTGCTGCCGCGTGCGTGCTCGAGCCAACTCTGCGATCTTAGTGCATTTGACGTCTGAAGGAATCTTTCAGAGCTAACATCCCCCAACAACCCCTCGCAGTCAGATCGCATCGCAGTAGTCAGCTGCGATTCGCTATGTAGCCTTTGATGAAGGAGTATTGAGCTTGCTACCGGGCCGCAGCTTGGACTTTTGTCTTTCCTTTGCACGAGGGGTGCTGGGAGCCAGGACTTGTCAAGAGCTGTTGAAAGTAAGTGGGTCATCATGAACATCCACCTGTCCCGAAGGCCCCCTTTTTTTTTTGTCCTTCTCGCAGTGTCTTGTCGCAGTGAAGGATGCTTTGCAGCCACACCCGGTGAGAGACGAAGAGGACTCTGCTGTGGGGCGGTTTTCAAAGATTCAATGCTCATAATGAGCCATGATGGCAGTGATGGCCGCTATCACTATCATTACCATCGTTGTCCTTTCCACCGTCACTGTCATGGACATCAAGAACATCGTCAGCGTTGTCAGTGTTGTCATCATCACAGTAGTAGTAGTAGTAGTAGTAGTAGTAGTAGTAGTAGTAGTAGTAGTAGTAGTAATAGTAGTAGTAGTAGTAGTAGTAGTAGTAGTAGTAGTAGTAGTAGTAGTAGTAGTAGTAGTAGTAGTAGAACTAGTTATAGTACTAGTAATCCCCTCCCCCGTTTATTAAAGGACCCCCTAATTATAAAAACACTTTTCCCCCGATCCACCCGGAAGTAGCACCGCCCTTTAAACCCTAATTTGAATTAAGGGGAAGGTTTAGGGGGTTTAGGGTTTAGGGTTTAGGCTGGCTGAGTCGTCGGTCTTTTTGGGCAGCTGTCTGTCTGCCTGTGTGCAGCTGCTGTCTTTGCGAGCTTGGCTGGCCTAGCCTACCTCGCTATATAGATCTTGCAGATAGGCTGCCTGTGTGCACTGCGGGTTTGTACTGCCTGTCTGTCTTAGAAACTAGGGTTTAAGGTTAAGGGGTCTGCGAACTAGCTACCTGGCATGCCTATCTGTCTGTCTGGCAGACATTAGTCTGCGCAGCAGCACAAAAGTGCCCAGCTGAAGGGCGGACCTGCCTGTCTGGCTCTGGCAAGTGCTGCCTGCAGCCACACCTGTCTCTTCTCTCTGCCTGTCTCAGCCTGCTCACTGTGGCGGCCGACGTCGGAGGAGAACGCCATCCAGGTGTCCTGCTCATGGTAATTAATTAATTATTTCAAGATCACTGAAGCTCCCACCTAATTAATTAATTAAGTCATCGCACAAAGTCGGACTAGAGTCAAGCTCAACAGGGTCTTCTTTCCCGCTGATTATCCCCAGCTCGTTCCCTTGGCTGTGATTCCCCCCGCCTGGCGTCTCTCAGCACAGCTGACTGCCTTTCCCACAAGGTGCAGCTCTTCCTTCGCAGGTGCCAGGGTCGAGTTGGGTTTTGGTGGTTTGATCTGTTCTGCCTGGATGTCTGTCAAGACATCCGTCTGCGTGGCCAACTTGTCTGCCACTGCCTGGCTGATGTCTGTCTGTCTTGTTGAAAGATTGGAAGTTTCTGGCTGTGTGCCTGGAGAGCCGCTGTCTGGCTGTTCATGGCTGTCAGCAGCTGGCTTACCTAAGCTTTCAACCCAATTAATTAATTAATTAATTGCGTCGATTTGGCACAATCCAGCCAGCTTAGCACAATTCAGCCAGCATGCGAAACGAGGCACATCCAGTACTAAGCTTGTACTACGATTTGGCACAATCCAGCCAGCATGCGAAGCGAGGCACATCCAGTACTAAGCTTGTACTACGATGTGGCACAATCCAGCCAGCATGCGAAGCGAGGCACATCCAGTACTAAGCTTGTACTACGATTTGGCACAATCCAGCCAGCATGCGAAGCCAGGCACATCCTGTACGAAGAAGTAATTACTGTAATTAATTAATTTAAAACTCGAGATGTAATTCATTATTTAATTAGTTGTGCACGTGATGGCTCCTGAGCTGCCTGGCTTTCCAAGAGCCTTCACCTTTGCTTTGGCCTTGGCCTTGGTCTTGGCCTGGGCCTCGGGTGCCTTTGCTGCCTCCTCTGCCTTTTTGTGTGCCTGGTTACTCATATACTTCAAAAACTGCGTTCTGTTGCAGCGAAGGCAGCCACTCAGAGCAAAACTGCAGTGGGCACAGCCAAAAACGATGGTGTCTCCTGCTGTCTGGCTGTCTTGCTGCTGACTCTCTTTCTGTCTGGCTAGCTCTTTGCCTCGCAGCAGCAGCTGAATCCAGCGGTTCAGCTGGCTGCTTCTGGCTGGCAGGTCTTTCACAAGTGGCTGCGGGGCCTCACCCATCCACCGCCGCCACTCCTGCTCCATATACAGCAAGACCCAGAGGCCGCACGAGAAGCCGTCTGTCTGTCTGAGCAGACTGACTGGCGCAGGCAAAGGCTGGGCCTGTTTCTTGGCTGTCTGCAGCAGCACCTTCAAAACTGCACTGGCTTCCTTGTAGGCTGCCTCACCGGGCAACGTGTCATAGTACCTGACCTTCGCTTCGGGGCTGTCTCTGACTGTCTCGACCACCAGCAAGGACCAGTGTCTCGGAGGCTGGCTTTGCACGACTGCCAAGACCAAACCAGCCTGGCTGTCCATGGCTGTCTTTGCTGCTGCCTTGAGTGTATGTGTCTGGATAAGTTGCTTGGCCTCTGCTGGCCGCAAAACACACAGGCTGGCTGGCTCTGCTCCATGGGAGAATCGGTATGACATCTCCCTGATGCCAGCTTCGAGCTGGCTGTCTGTCAGCAGGTCTTCGTGCTTGTAAAGCCGCAAATCTTTTGCACTGGCTGCCGCTTCCTCGCTGGCTGCAGCACTGGGGAAAGACTCCAAATCCAAAACCAGCGGAAACTGTCTGTCTCTGACGTCCAGCGTAATGTCTGTGTGGCTGACCCATTCATGAACTCCATCAGCATTGATCAGGACTTGGCTGTCTGTCTGCTTTCCACACACCACGATCTTGCCCAGCAGCGGAGCCAGGTCACCGATCACTCGAGCTTGCTTGCCATGCAAGTGTCCCTCACTGCCTGGCTCGGCTGCCCGTCTTTGAGCCTTCTTCGCCTGGTCTTTCTTTTGCTGCTTCTTGACCTGGCTGGGCTTCTTTCTGTCTGCCTTCTTCTTCTTTTTCTGGCCCACTTTGGGCACGACAGACTGCAGAGCCTGCTTCTTTGTCTTGCTGGCTTGCTGCTGTCTCCATTCTTTCAAAAGTTTGCGCCTTTTTCTGTCTTGCTTCGCGTTCTTGATCCTTTTTTCCTTTCTCTGCTGCCTCTCTGTCTTTGTCTGGCTCGTTGTCTGGTCCACCTGTTCCTGGAAAAGCCGTCTCCTCTCGTTCGGGTGGACCTGTCTCAGAATGACCTCTCTGAGCTCTCTTTCTGACTGAGCAAGGAGATTGGGCTTCGCTCGGAAGCTCAAGTGTATGTCTGTCTGGCCAAGCAGGTACGTAGACTCGGGTTCGAATGCATTGGATTCATCAAATGTCTTGCTGTCTGCCTCTGTCCACGGAAGCACCTTGCCTGTCTTGTCCACCCAACGAGACCTGTCTCTGAGGTGGTCGCTGCCTAGCTTGGCATTGCCTTCAGGGAAGTCCAGACACCATTCCTGGCTGCCACAGTCCTGAAGCCTGCCTTCACTGTCTGGACGGAAGTGGAACCAGCCTCCCTGCCGCATGCAGCGAAGGACTGTCTTCTCTGTCTCATTCAACTGCACCATCCTGGCGTGCATCTGTCTAGCTGCCTCCAGAATGTCTGCCGGGCCTGTCTTATAGGTGCACTGCACCTTTTGCTGTCTGGCTTTCTCTCGCATGCGCTGCTTCAAGTCTTCCTGCCACCTTTTGAGAGCTGCCTTGGCTGGCTGGGCGAACCCGATGTCTGTCACCTGGGTCAAGCCGGTGCACCCGGCTGCAATGCCTGTCTGAGCTCGCTGCAGGAGTGCAGCGGCGTGCATGGACTCCGTCGTCCATGCTCCGCCGAACATATCGACGAGCTGCACTGCCTGGCTGTGCTCTTCTGACTCGAGCTCTAGCTGCCATCTGTAAATCACGCTATCTACCACTGCGGCTGGCTGGCACCACACCCTGACACTGCCATCAAACAGGTGTGGCTGGGTCTGTCGCAGTTTGCGCCAAGTGCGCATGACCTGTCCTGGCACTCGCTGGCCTGCCCTTCTCCTGACTGTCTGGCTGCCTACCTGGAAGCACTCGGACTTGATCCACGTGCCTTCCTGGCTGATGTTTTCAAGTCTGCAGTGTTTGCCGTATGTGACAAGTATCGTGGGCATAACGACACCCACTGGCTGTCTGTCTGGCGCAAAGAAGTTCTGCACTGCCTGTCTAGCTACCAAGCTGATTCGCCACCTTGCTGCCACACCTGGGGCTCGAGAAGCACATGCCAGCCTCGGTGCCTCGGTTGGTTTCGAAAG